ATGCGGATGACAGCACTGGTGATGGTCTATACACCGGCCGTGCCAATGTTTCTCGGGAAAACGTCGCTGAGTACCGGAACAAACTTGTGTCTGAAGTCGAGTCTTTGCTGAGCAAAGTCTCGAATTGGGGGCGACTAAATCTAGTCCAGTTTAATCCTCAGAGGACACAAGTTTGCGCGTTTACCGCTAAAAAGAACCCCTTTGTCGTATCTCCTCAGTTTCAAGGCACTCCCCTTCTTGCCTCAGCCATTATCGAAATGCTCGGAGTCGACATATCGAGTGACGTGCAGTTTCGTGGTCACTTGGAAGGGAAGGCCAAATTGGCCTCTAAAAAGCTTGGCTTTTACAAGGCGCAAGTTCAGCCTCAAATGGAATACTGTTCCCATCTCTGGGCAGGGGCTCCCCAGTGACAGCTCCTTCCACTTGACCGCATCCAGCGCAGAGCGGAAAATTTCACGAACGCACATCGCGGCAGAACTCCCGATACCATCCACACCATCTGGATGATTGGCGGTCCACCACTGTGCGATTTAGAAGATGTTTTCTTCCTCGCACGACCTCCTTGTGGAATCGATTACCATCAGCGATTTTTCCGGACCGATACGACTTAGGGACCTTCAAGAAAAGAGCGTACTCCTTTTTAAAAGGCCGGCAACGCATCTGCGATTCCCCTGGTGTTGCAGTTGTTCATGGGCGGCGGTAGTCACTTACCATCATGTGAGCCGCATGCTCGTTTGCCCCCTCTCCTATAAAAAAAAAAACATGTGTGTATTTAAACTACTTTTAAAAAATCCATATAATCATATTATACGTAATTTTTTTAATGCGATTAGGATTTACCAATATTTAACTTTATTGTTATTATTATGACATAACGTCGTAATTATTTTCTAATTAAGATAACTAATTACTTAAACGCGCAACAACATCCATATCTGTTTTGTAAAAGAATATCCCTTTAATTTTTAGTTTAAAGCGAGCAAAGATAGTGAATACGTTTTTACTAAGACAGTGCAATTTACTTGGCTTCATCACCACCTAACATCAGGTGGGACTATAGTCTGGGTTATAATTATTAAGAAAATTACCTTCTATAAGTTTTTAAGTAATATTTTTTATTAAATAATAGTGACAAACGAGCACACAGTCGACCTAATGGTAAGTGGATATTGTGGCCCATAGACGTCTACATCTATCCTCAATAAAGAATCAAAGTGCAGATCCGTTGTCACCCCTGAGGACTAAGATGGAATAACTTCGAGTGAACCTCTAACTCGACGTTAAATCAATGACGTGTTTAAATTGTTTTTAACTGCATCTTAGAAAGAACCGTGATGTCTCAATTGCTAGGCGCTTTTTACACTGTTTATTTTAATCTTTTTTAAATAATAGCGTTCCGCTACGACTTCGCAAGGGTGATTTCTGGATCTGGACAACAGCGCCACCTACCGGGTCCAGTTGCGCATCGCACTGCAATTCTTTTTATATATTTTAGATTTCTTCAACAAGAAAGTTTCATAATCGCCTTGCGATTTGTATGCAAATCTAAACTCCTCTTCTTCTTCTTGTATAAAATTCGAAATTCATTCAAGTAGAGAAGATCTGAGTCTTGTTGAATCCACTGTTTTTCTCGGAATAAGAGATGACGCGAATCTTCAATGGGGCTCTCATATATCTAAACTAGCTAGCAAAGCTAGTTCTGCTTCTGCAGCATATGCTGTAAAAAGTTTTAGTTATTTCTGTAACATAATGTAATAGGGAATCTTGCTATGGGGTAATGCAACTGACATTGAAACTATCTTTGTTTGCTGAAGAGAGCCATAAGAGCTCGGTCGAAAGCTAAGAGCTAGGTGCTATGTAGGTAAAATTTTAAAAAAATGTATTAACTTAGGCCTCTCGATATATTTACGAAAATTTAATGTATGTACGCCAAAACAAAAATAGTTATATTAAAAATAGGTGAGTACATTCTGTAAATACTAGGAACAAGCACAAATTAGTTATAACGGCTCCAAAGAGGCAGTAATTTCTTCATGGGGCAATGTATACGCTTTTACAACAAAGTCACAGAACATATACATAAGCCTTGTATATTTTCTGGGGCTTTCTGGGGCTTAGTAAAACTTGTTTAGAAAGGGTTGTTATACTACTAAAGAGTAAATGATTGATAATAACCCCTAGGAATGAGGTGATCGCTACCATGCCGTTTCACACAAAGACTTCATACTAATTGTATAAAATAATATGTTTATTTTATTTATAAAAAGTCTGACAAAAGTCCGTATTTTATTTAGAAAAAGGTTTCTGACTTTCAATAAGTATTCTTTGTTATCTATATTTAAAAAAAACTGATTGTCTTCTATTCTATTGCTAAAACATTGCCAACACATTGCTCTATTTAACCTTCTCGTTTTTACAAACTCGATTAAAAATTACTCGCCTAGTAGACATACATTTTAATAAATAATAAAACACCGATATTACTTAATATTTAGCACTTTAAATGTATTTATGTGTTCATGCAACAATCACGCTTTAAGTGATGTTATTGTAATTATAAAATACATTAATGTAAAATTAATATCAGTCTTATTATTCGACCCAAATAAAATATATGGTCGATCTAAACAATGCTAAATTCACGTTAGAGATCTTTTGAGTAGCGTGTATCAACCATAAAATGTTGGAACTAAAAATGTGGGTAGAAAATACTACAGACTTAACTCTTTAATATCTGACCCGTACTTTTCTTATTTGAAAGTGATCGGCATAGATAATACACTATTTATGATCTGTTCCAGGCGAGTTTTTGTAAAGTGTCAATGTATTTAAGGTGGTTAACAATGGCGTTTATAATGCTCGTGAGTATTTTAATATTATAATTAAGTTTTACATTTACATAAAGAATGACGCCCATTTTTCAACCGACTTCAAAAAGGAGGAGGTACTTGATTGGACTGTATGTTTTTTTGTGTGTTACCTCATAACTTTTTCTCAGTTTCGATGATTTTTTTTATTTGAAAGCTGGTGCTTCTCATGAGGTCCCGTATAAATTTGATCAAGGTCTGACCAATAGTTTTTGGGGTTTTCTTAATAATTTATATTGAAGTCGATTGTACAATTCTTTTATTTTTTATTATTATTCAATATAGATTACAAGACATTTATTGAAAGTCATTTCAGCGTTGCAACCATAATAAATATCTCTGCTATGAGGCAAACTATGGGGAGGCATATGTACAGTCATATCCCTAGGTATATAGTCTTATACCGGAATATAACTATGATACCAGCACGACATAGTAATATAACTATCTTACTAGACTAATTTAGACAAATAATTATAAGTATAGGTTGACCAGAAATGTCAGTCTACCCTATTTTCTGCCGACTTCTAAAAAGGAGACGGTACTTAATTCGACTGTATGCTTTTTTTTAATGTGTGTTAACGTCATAATTTTTTACTGGGTGAACAGATTTCGATGATTCTTTTTTTATTTGAAAGCTGATACTTCTCGTCTGGTCTCATATGAATTTTATCAAGGTCACACCAATAGTTTTCGTACAAGTAGTCGGCTGTACAAAATTTTTAATTATTACCTCACACTTTTTGAATTTGTTACATTAAAAAGATCAATTCTTTCAATGTTATATTTTATATCAATATAATTTACGCGGCTTTAGGGTGGACCAAGTATCACACCAGCCGCTACTTAACCTACTGTCAGTAATTTAAAATTAAATATTTCTGCCGACTTCCAAAAAGGAGATGGTACTCAATTCGACAGTATGTTTTTTTATGTGTTACCTCATAATTTTTACTGGGTGAATCGATTTCGATATTTCTTTTTTTTTGAAAGCTGATAGTTCTCGTGTGGTCCCATATGAATTTGATCAAGGTCAGACCAATAGTTTTTGAGTTATTCATAATAACTTATATTGAAGTCGGCTGTACATCGGTTCACCCAGTAAAAAGTTATGAGGTAACACACATTAAAAATAAACATACAGTCGAATTGAGTATCGGCTTCTTTTTGGAATTTGGCAGAAAAAGGAATGTGAACTACAACCCAACAGGATCTTATGCCTCCTCTACACTACTCGCGAAGTAGATCGAAGTTGGACGAGGTGAATAGTATAGAGAGGTACCTTGATTCGCTTCGTGAAACCTCGCTTCGCCTCGGGCGACTTGCGATCGCAGTCGGTTTTTTGCGCCAGAGTCAAAAAACTTCGCGAAGTACCCCGAATTTACACGAAGCGTCTCACTACACTACTCGGCTTACGACAGTTATTTATATTTTTTTATATATAAATATTAAATGTGTAGCTTTCTACATAGGTATTTATTTAGTTAACGCATTGACGTCGTATTGTTCACACAATTAGGTACCTATAGCAGCTGCCTCTTGAACGTTATTCATCTTAAGGGTGCGAGAGACTCAAGACGACAGAGCTCTTCGCGAAGTAGCACGAGTGTACAGTCACGTTCTTTCGATTGCGATTGACTTCGACGAGCACTTCGACAAAGTTACTTCGCGAGTAGTGTAGAGAAGGCATTAAGATCTAATGTCAATGTAGCGATATTTGTGACTCCTATACATTCAGTTTACAATTATAATATTATCCCTAAATTAGTATAGTAAGATAGTTATGAATCGCTTTCATATAACCGTATGACGGTATATAGCAATATCCCTAGTGATATAACTATATCGCGGCTTTAACTATCTTACTGCGACATACATATGTTCCGTGGTTAACTTTTGATAGGCTGTATTTAAAGATTTTTTTTCTTATATTTATAAAAATACACGGGCTTTCTCAGTTTACACACATACATTACTCAAAGACAGACATCCAGATTCCAGACCCAAAACAATTATTTGTCCCGTGCGGCATTCAAACCTGCGGCCTTTACTGCTCCAACTAAATCCTTAGCTACTGCGCCACAGAGCAAATTAATTAATTACAATAATGTTAATTAATTTGACATCTCTCAGGGTAAGCTGTCGCCATCTAGACCGGAGAAGACAACAGATCTCCGGAAGAAGGTGAATAAGACAGATGTCCTCAACAGTCAAATGGACGAGGAGGCGTACAGAAAGAAGATCGGTGAACTGCTCAACGCTAAGACAAACTACGGAGCAATAAACGCAACTTACCATGAACTACGCGACGGTTCAAGTATGCCTGTAATTGCTTTAGGAACCGCACTGGTAAGTTCGAGGTTCGTTATAAAGTAACTAGGATTACTGAACTATACTAGACTCCTAACCGCCACCGTGTAGTGCCCTCTTGTGGGAGGCCTATGTTCACCACCACTGGTGAGTCCACACTTGTAAACGGACGTAATGACGATGATGATGATGGCGTGGATCGAACTCAGATTGATAGCGTACTGTGATGTAATTTATGGCGAGTACTCAGCCCTGAGCAACCACGGTCAATGTTTTTTTATGGAATAAGAGTGACAAACGAGCACACAATCCACCTGATGGTAAGAGGATACTGAGGCCCATATACATCTACGTTTGTCCTCGATTAAAATTCAAAATGCAGATGTTGTCACCCCCGAGGACTAAGATGGAATACCTCATTTCCAGTAAAACATGTCTCCTGTTCTCTACACTCACCATAGGAAACACAGCAGTACTAAGCTGCTATTTTACGCTAGTATTGTGAGAGCGTGGTCCTTCCCTAGCCGAGCCGACCCATTCGTGCTACAACCATAATAACATAGCTACAGCATGGCTGTACCACGTTACATCGGTCAGATAATACAAAAAAATAACTTTTAATAAAATGTAAAAGCCGGTATCAAAGAACTAAATAGTATAAAATAACTTACCTGACCTTTTGAGTGGATGAATGAAATTTGAGGGTTGGAAACCCTTGAAGATATTGCGCTACGTAAATACCAAGACAATATTTTTAAACAAGCAAAACATTTTAATTCAGATTAAACTTTTAAAAAGTACATATGTACAATATATTTTTAATTATAATATCTTGTACATATTAAAAAAATATCAAATAGATATATTTGATATTTTTTTAATATGTATGATTGCCTTGGGCACAACAGAGGGTGACGACCATTTTGAAACAAAAGTATTTTAAAAAAAAAAAGATGATCCGTAAGTGATAATGACGACATTGTTATAGCAACAACCACAGCAAGTAGATGCTGTGGCTCATTCTAATTATATTAATAATCTAGTATACATTCTATAAAAAACCTAATCTATAAAAAAGTGTGTGTACTTATGTAGGCACGTAGGATATACTTCTTTAGCGTAACAAAACAAAAAAGCTTTAGAGACAATTACCCAATGAAGTTGTCGTTTTCTGCCGACTTCCAAAAAGGAGACGGTACTCAATTCGACTGTAAGTTTTTTTTTTATGTGTGTTACCTCATAACTTTTTACTGGGTGAACCGATTTAAATGATTCTTTTTTGTTTGAAAGCTGGTACTTCTCGTGTGGTTCCATATAAATTTGATCAAGGTCAGACCAATAGATTTTGAGTTATTCTTAATAACTTATATTGAAGTCGGCTGTACGAAATTTGAAATTTTAAATGATTAGGTGTCGGTATGCGCGCCCATCGTAAAAATTCACTCTCATAATTTTTCCTAAACGCCCCAAAAGAAGTACAACTTCAAAAATTACATCCTTTATTTTTCCACCTTCAAGGGTTGGAAACCATTGTAAGATTCGCGAAGATATTGCGCTATGTAAATACCAGGACAATATTTAGGTCGCTCTATTTTTTAATTCGGTTTTAATTTTATAAAAGTTTAAATATGATAATAAAAATATGTCAAACAAAGGGTGATGATCATTTTGAAACCAAAATAGGTATATTTGAAAAAAAAAGATTGGTAAGTGATAATTACAACATTGTCATCAAATGAAAATTTTTACTGATGGCAAGTTGACGCTGTGGCTAATTCTAACTATATTATCTAATTATATTAATAATTTAGTATATATTCTATAAAAAATGTAATATATAAAAAAGAATGGAAAGATGGACTCTGACTAATTAACCCTTATTTTATAAAAAAAAGAATGGAAGAACAGTCGAAGCAAACCATACCATAACATGTCATTACAGCCTTTCAAAAGTTCCTGGCTTAACATAGATCTCCATCATAGGAGGGGGGGGGGGGTTGCCATAACACCACGCTTAGTGACATAGTAAGATTGGATGACAAACGAGCACACGGTCTACCTGATGGTAAGCGGTTGCTGTGACCCATAGACATCTTCATCTATATCCTCAATAAAGAATCAAAATACAGATGCGTTGTCACCTGTTTTTTCCTGTTGTCAGATGTTTTTTTTTTAAACTATTGATAAGTGACTAAGATGGAATGTCTCTTATCCAGTAAAAAACGTCTCCGGTTCTCTACACTCACCATACGAAACACATTAGTGATAAACTGCCATTTTACGCTGGTATTCTGTGTGAGCTTGGTCCCTCCCCGGTCGAGCCGACCCATTCGTGCTACAACTAAACTACTAATATAGCTGCAGTATACCACGTATAATTTTTTTTACTTTTTTTTTGTGTAGTCTCTTCTTTAATTTTCCTCAAGATGCGGTTCCTCAAATCCGTCCATCTTCGTTTACCTCCGTCAGCTGTTACCACGGAATGTGGAGTAGTGGATATTATTACATCGCAACTATACAACGTTGGTGTTTTATGTCAGCTGTATTTCTTTTTTGGCAAGACGTGACGACATAAGAGAATATATCTCCTCATTTTCGCTTATTGGTGACCCTAATTTGGTTAAAACCAATCTTACCATCCTCGAACACACACGCAAAGTAGCCATCCTTTCGGTTTTCTATAGGATGCATATCGGAGAGTGTGCGCAGGAATTGCATAATTTAATTCCTCCCTTTCCCTTCCACCATCGGACAACCAGACGTTCAGCCAGTCTCCACCCTTTCATTATTGACTTACCACGCATTAGAACCAAACGGTTCGCTACCGTCATTCATCATGCGTACATCAAAGGAGTGGAATAAGTTGCCAAAGACAGATGTATTTCCATCTGATTACAGTGTGGGTGTCTTCAAGGCAAGAGTGAATAGGCTCTTGTTAAGTCAGTGCGTTTCACCATCTTAGGCTACAGCACCACTTACCATCAGGTGGGATCGTAGATAAGCACTGGCTTAGTAGAATATAAAAAAGATCCGATTTAAGAAGGAATTTCTTTTACACTCCTACGTCTGAAGATGGACTTGATCTAGGACACAAGTTGACCTTACCTCTTTCATAGACTTGAGATTGCAGGAAAAGTTCAAGTTCCAACCTATATACATCCCACTGCTGGACACAGGCCTCCTCTCATTTCTGAGTTCTGGACTTTTTTTCTTACTATTCAGACATACAGATTTCCTCACGATGTTTTCCTTCACCACCGAGCATGTAGTAAATCAGCACTTAAAATTGCAATTAACATTTCATTGGTGCCTCGAGTAGCTCGGGTATTGTGAAATTTACAGCGAATCTTAGCCCTGACCTACCACGGCTGTGAGGTTGCGGAAAATTTGCATCAAATTAGCAAACAAACATTTGTCACACGTATCTTAATATTGGAATCTCTCTTGCAGTTGGACAAACGTTTGATCAAGCACGTTGTAGAAGCGGCTATCGACCTGGGCTACCGCGCGTTCGATACCGCCTACATTTATGGAAACGAGCGGGAGGTCGGAGAAGCGATTAAAAAAAAGATCGAGGATGGGAGCGTGAAACGGTCAGTTTAATGTCAATTAATTGAGTCGTTAACCGTGTAGTGGCGGTGTAAGAATAACCTCTACCCGTATCATCCCGTGGCTGTCGTAACAGTTGACAGAGGGAAACAAATCAATAGATCGGAGGCAGAGTCTTCCTAATAACGACTAAAAATAAGAAACTGCGATTGCCAACCAATCGGGTTCGGCCAAGCGTGGCAACTATGGCAAATATCCCCCTATGAGGCAGTCTATTGGGGGAGGCCTATGTTCAGCTGTACCTGGGTTGTAATGGATAGATGTATAGAAGAAAAACTACCAGGAGCACATGCGCCACAGAGAGGTGAACTATGGCAAATAATCCCGTATGAGGCAATCTATGGGGGAGGCCTATGTTCAGCTGTACCTGGGTTGTAATGGATAGATGTATAGAAGAAAAACTACCAGGAGCACATGCCCCACAGAGAGGTGAACTATGGCAAATAATCCCGTATGAGGCAATCTATGGGGGAGGTCTATGTGCAGAAGTGGACTTTTATAGGCTGTATCGGTAACGGTAACTGAATCGTTCATCGCTAGCCTGCATCAGTCTGGCTAGGCTTCACGTATATTTCCTGGTAAGACTGAGACTAAGACTAAGAACACTTTATTTTTTTGAAAACTATTGATAATTTTCAAATTGTGTAAATTTTTTTAATAAGGTAAGCGTGACAAACGAGCACGCAGTCCACCTGATGGTAAGTGGTTGCTGTGGCCCACAGACATCTACATCTATCCTCGATTACGAATCAAACTAGAGATGCGTTGTCATCCGTGAGGACTAAGATGGAATGCCTCGTTTCCAGTAAAAAGGGTCTCCGGTTCTCTACACTCTCCATACGAAACATAGCAGTGTTCAGCTGGTATTTTACGCTGGTATTCTGTGAGAGCGTGGTCCTCCCCCGGTCGAGCCGACCCATTCGTCCTTAAATCAAACCCGGCTTGGGTTTGATCGTCACCGGCACCAATGAAATGATTATGTGCAATTTTAAGTGCTGATATACCACGTGCTCTGCGGTGAATGAAGACATCGTGAGGAAACCTGCATGTCTGAGAAATAAGAAAAAATATTTCGAAGACATGTGAAGTTCGCCAACACTCATTGTGGCAGCGCGGCGGACATTTGCTTGCGCTAAAACCGTCTCAGAAATGAGAGGAAGCCTGTGCCCAGCAGTGGGACGTAAATAGGCTGTAACTTTACTTTACTAATAAAAAATACAAACCGACATCAAAACCAAAAAACTATCTACTACTGTTACTGTTTGTAAGATTTTTTAACATACATGTACAGTTCAGTTCAGAGATCTGAAACTCTTAGATTTCGAAAAAATTAAAAACAAAATTGCAATCTTTCCTCATTATTCTTGCTCGTTTGACATAACAATGTTTATGTTATTACACAATGGCATGTTGCAATTTGTTGCGAGATGAAATAATTTCCATAGAAGCTAGAGAATAATAAAAAGACATATGTTAAAAAGATATACGTGAAGCGGAGATGTAGTCTATCGATCATCTCTATCTATATCTAGTATATAGATGTAGTAACTGTATTGTCACCAAATCAAAAAATCGCGATCCAGTCAACTTATATCACTTCCGCCAGCTTTATATTGCACTTGTATAATAAAAATGTACACCAATAGCAAGAAATTTTAGTTAATACTTCTGACGTAGTTATAAGGTTATTTATTTTGCTTATTATTAAATACAAAATTAATTGAAGAAAATTTCAGTTGGACGTCAGATGGACGGTATGGATGTGAAGAAGTTATTTTTCGAAAAACTGAACTTATCATTTGGATTTTTTAGCTTTAGATTTTAATCCTTAGGAAGCCTTTTGAATTTCACTATTGTGAATCGTTCAGTTCATCAATTTTTTTTATTAATTATTTAACAATATTTTCCAATTGTGTTAATTAAACAGAAACATTTTTGTAGCTTTAAACACAATATATGTGTTTCAGTAATTAATAAAAGTACATGAGCGATCGAGGTGTGCGCTTTTTGATTTTCCAACTTCTTGATTTTTATTTTTATTGAAAGTCAAATTTTTGAGAGAAAAGCTTTTGAGGTCGTAGTTTCGTATATTTTCCGATACGAGAGCAAAATTTCTCAATTTTATACCAACATTAGCGTTTTTTTTTTTTATATACACATACACATAATATCAATTGCACAATTTGATTCCAGAGAGGACCTCTTCATCATTTCCAAGTTGTGGAGCACCTTCCACCGGCGTGACTTGGTGGAGGAGGCATGCAGGAACTCACTGCAGACCATGGGCCTGGCCTACTTCGACCTCTTCCTCATACACAATCCTATGTCTCTCAAGGTGATTACATAAACCATAGAGCAGCCAAAACAAACCCTTTTCTCTACTAGCGACTTTAGCAGAATAAAACTCCAAAGCCCCTTAGTCCATAATAGTTAATTCTTGGAGTTTATTGGAGATTACTTTTTAAGAATCGTTTCATATATAGCGCACGGTATAAAAACTAGATGGGTAGAAAAATCAAACGTTAACAAAAATTGAAGCCGTTATGGTTTTCCTCTACGCAACATACTCGCGCGTAACTCTTAGCGCGAAAATAATACAATGGAACCTGCTTAATTGGGATCTCAAGGGACCAAGACATTTGTACCAATTATTGAGGGTTTCTAATAATCTAGATTTCCAATTAAGGTAGGTTTAAATTATAGTTGTCTCATTTACAGAGGCCCCCGTACTGACAAACAAAGCATGCGCAAAAGACGACGCGAAATGTATGTAAACAAACATGTCAAAACGTGTTAAAACCAAATTAATTTGTCTCACTTATACATGTAATTGAGCTGAGAGTCCTAATTATAGAGGTAAACATCGAAAAATGTTTGAATTTAAATCTCATTTAACCAGGTTCAAAAAGTCCCATTTACAGAGGTAATATAATGAAAAAGAACCGGGACCTCATTGCAACTCTCAATAATAGAGGTTTCACTGTAATCTAAAATAAGTCATATATTTTAATATAATACATCTTTTGGAATATGTTTTATCTAAGTAATCAATAAAATAAATATATGGGTTAATTTACTTCCTTTGCCCATTTGTATATGTATATTTTAAGACAATCGTTTTTCAGGAGTAAACAACTCTAGTCACGCGTCGGAGCTGACACGCATTTTTTTTTGAAATTAAAAATATTGTTGCATCTGTACCTTAAATATATGAGTATGTATCAATTATTTAAAACGCAAAATAAAATTTATTAGTAAAACTATATCCAGATCTATTTTAAACTAAAACAAATAAGAATACGTATTGCGTACATATTATTAGGAATTTTGAATTTAAATATTTTTATATTTTGACATTCGACCTTTTTATTATTAATATTATTCTAAGCCAGCGCTTAGCTACAATCCCAACTGATGGTAAGTGGTGATGTAGTCTAAGATGGTGAAGCGCACTGACTTAACCAAAGCCTATTCACTCTTGCCTTAGCCATATCATCCCGTAGGTGAAAAGGCATAAAACTAAAATAGGAGATTGCGGGTCCTATATTTCTGATAACAACGCAAAAACATAAAAAACTACGGTTACTAACCCACCACGCCTGGCAACTAAAATTATTCTATATATGAATTTATGAAAATCAAATTAAGACACCTCCGTACTAAACCATTTGAGGAGGGGGTACTCAATTCGACTGTATTTTTTTATGCATGATACCTCAGAACTTTTTATAGGTGAATCAATTTTGATGATTCTTTTTTATTTGAAAGCTGGTGCTTTCCATGTAGTCCCATATAAATTTGATCTGACCAGTAGTTTTGAGTTATCCTTAATAATGCGTATTTAATAGAATTCGACTACATTGATGATGTTCTCATTTTATTTATATTGAAGTCGGTTGTACCAAATTTTTTATTTTATCACTTGTTAATCAACTTTACAGGAAGGCAAGGACCCCATACCTAAAATCGCAAACGTTCTTCAATTCTCCGAGCACGACTACATGGACGCGTGGTACGGCATCGAGGACCTGATCAGCAAGGGTCTGGTGAGAAGGGGCGGCGTCAGCAATTTCAACTCGGAACAAGTGCATCGGGTGATAGAGAAGGGACAGTTAAAGCCGGTTATCAATCAGGTGATAGATCGGATATTTATGATGATATATTATAAATGATTTATATATTCTATGAACTCCGTCTATTTTGTGTTAAAAATATTTAAAGTAATGTTACAGCCTATATACGTCCCACAGCTGGGCACAGGTCTCTTCTCAGTTTTGGAAGGATTTTAGTTTCTTTCCCTTTGCTGCCTGATATTTTTACACTGGCACTACACGGTCCGTATTATAGTAAATAAAATATATTATTATTAATTAATGTTTAGGTATTTATCAACTGTGGCAAATGACCCCCTTGTGGGACAGTCTATGAGGGTGACACTGAAAGTTCTTAGAAAACCAAAAACTAAACAAACTAGCAAGTTATTACTTTTATTATATCTTTTCAAAACAGTGTCCATTTACATCAATATATCACTGCATCCGATGGAACCACTGCGAAATGCACTTTAACCACTCGTCCTTAGGGGCCTCTTCGACGGCATTTTGAAACGCAGCCACTGCTTCCTCGGCGTCCATAAAACGTTTTCCTCGAAGTTTTTCTTTTATTTTCGGAAATAAATAAAAATCGCAAAGTGCGAGGTCGGGGCTATAGGTAGAGTGACCCAGTAATTCCACGTCTGACGTCGCCAAGTAGTCGATTGCTTGCTTGGCGGTGTGCGACGAGGCGTTGTTGTGATGAAGGAGGATCCTACTGCAAGGTCATTTCTCCCGAACTTTTTCCAAGACAAGTGGTAAACAATTGTTAGTGTACCACTCTGCAGTAACTGTTTTTCGATCCTCTAAAACAATTTTTGCGTAATGACCTGTCCTTCCGAAGAACGAGGCCACCATCTTTTTCCCACGCTTCGACCTCTATTCACTTTAGTTGGCAACTCCTCGGAAGGAAACACCCAGACAGCAGACTGTCACTTAGTTTCAGGATCATAATAATAAATCTAGCTTTCGTCACCCGTAAGTATGTCGAACACAGCATTTGAGTCACCTTCGTTAAATCTTTGAACCATTTCACGACGCCAATCAACACGACGGAGTTTTTGGACCTCTGTCAAATTATGAGGTATCCACCGGGCATAAAGCTTCCTGACCGCTAAATGTTCATGGAGGATTTTGTGCACTTCACTCATACCGATGCCTAAGCTTGTGCGAATCTGCTGATAAGTCACTCTTTTGTCAGTCTCTATTATACGCCGCACAACACTAATGTTATCTTCAGTCATCGCCGTAGAAGGCCATCCCTCACGCAGATCATCGGTGAAATTATTGCGACCACGTTTAAATTCATTAAACCAGTTGTAAACAGTGACACGAGATGGGGCTTCATCATGAAATGCCAATGGAAGTCTATTATAACTTTCTTGTTGACTTAAATGACATCGAAAGTCATAATAAATCGTTGTACGAAAATTTTCTCACGTTAAATTCACGCTGAAGCGACACAGACAATTTTCAATTTTGCTGCTAAATCGTAAACAAATGAGAAATTAATAAAATACATACACAATAATATTGGCAGAGTTTCATTTTCATAATTTTAACTTATTTTTTTATTATATCGTTTACAAGTGGCTAGTTATAATAACTTTCAGTGTCGCCCTCGTATGAAGAAGCCTAGGTTCAGCAGTTGACTTTGATAGTCTGTAATGATGACGATGATGATGATAATGAATAGTAACTTGAAATAAAAAGTTTTGACTTTGAGTTTGAACTGTCTACGTAAAAGAATCTTGGAAAAAAACTCTGTGACAGGCAGATAGAGGCGGAGGTGATGCCACAGGTTTTCCATTTTGCTTAATTTAGTCCAGATTTAAAAATCGACTATATAACTTTTATAGGTGGAATGTCAACCATACCTAAGCCAAGATAGACTGGCAGGCTTTTGCGACGCCTACGGGATCAAGCTCAACTGCTTCGGTGTGCTGGGCTCCAAAGGCACGCCTGCAGAGTTGAAGAGCGGGCTATCTCCTGTCATTGATGATCCCCTGGTACTTGTTATGGCTGCCGGGCTTGGTATCACACCAGCTCAGCTCTTAGTGGCGTAAGTATAGTATTATATGATATGTGAGAGTGTGTGACAACGAAACATACGTTAAATTAAAAAAGGCTTTTGAGGATTTGTCACCGTAGCCGAGACATAGATTTATCCCAAATGTAAGTAGGTATTAAGGAAGCAAGCTGCATTCAATATGATAGAAGTCCTTTTTTTTGTAGTCCACCTGATGGTAACTGGTTGCCATGGCCCATAGACTTCTATCATCTATCCTCGATTACGAATTGAATGCCTCGTTTCCAGTTAAAAGGGTCTCCGGTTCTCTACACTCACCATACGAAACATACCAGCGTTAAGTTGCTATTTTACGCTGGTATTCTGTGAGAGCCTGGTCCTTTCACGGTCGAGCCGACCTATTTGTGCTACAACTATATTATTAATATAGCTGCAATATACCCTACCACGTAAGTTTCTTTTCTGCCTAGAGTTCACCTAGGTACAAATATTACTTGATCATGGGTGTACAAGATACATTTGAGTTTTAACTCACCCATTCCTTACCTAAATTTTACTTTTTTGACAGTCGTAAACGCCGCCGCTGTTTTAAATCCCCGGTTAGTTATTGAGTGTTTCTGTCAATAAATTCTCGTAGCAGCTCGGAATTAAACGAGTAGCGGTGTTTCAACCCCGCGCCTTAGTAAAAACAAAGCCGTTGGTCCTGCGCCCACCTTTTTCCGCTCGTGTCGGATTACCCTCCCATCGGACTATGAGAGTGAGGGAATGGAGAGTACACCTCTGCCTGCGCATACACTCGGCACTATAATCCTGTTGTGAGTTCGACCACGAAAAGCTGTTGGGCCCAATGTGACAGCTTGCTGATTCAGGATGGAGTCCTGTGCCGTAAATGGGAAAATAGTACGGGAGACAGTTGCCATTTGCAAATGGTTGTCCCTATAGCTAAAGTACCTGATGTTCTACAGCTGTAGCATAATGGTTGTTCAGGAGGCCATCAGGGAGTTAAACGAACTCTACTAAAGATCCGATAACGGTTTTATTGGGTCCACTGTCGTGATGATGTCAAGGAATGATGTCGCAAATGTACAAGTTGTGAGGCTGTAAGGTGCATTAAAATTGTACAATGTTGGTGCACCATGGGAGAGGATAGGCCTTGTCGTTGTGGGGCCGTTCCCGGAAAGTGAAAGCGGTAACAAGTATTTCATAGTTGTGACGGATTACTTCACTAAGTGGTCAGAAGTCTTCGCTATTCCAAATCAAGAAGCTTCAACAGTTGCAGATAAACTAGTTCATGAAGTCGTCTGTCGTTTTGGAGTACCTTTAGAGATTCACAGCGATCAAGGAAGGAATTTTGAGTCTCAAATATTCCAGGAAACTTGCCGAGTTATGGGTACTCATAAAACAATAACAACTTTTTACCACCCACAATCTGATGGAATGGTAGAACGATTTAATCAGACATTGGAGAGGTACCTAGCAAAAGTTGTGGAAAATCGGCAAAGGGACTGGGACAAGCACATACAACCATTTTTGTTGTCATATCGAAGCGCTGTTTACGAAAGTACATCAGTGACGCTAGCTTTTGCAAACTTTGGAAGAGAATTACGGCTGCCTCCAGACCTGATCACAGGAATACCACTTGAAGCCACACGCAATATAACCGATTATGCAAATGACTTGCGGAACAAAATGAATGACATTTATGAGCACGTTAGACAATCAGGCCAGCAAATGTCTGAAAAGATGAAAACACGGTATGACCGTAAAATGTATAACAAATGGTACGACGAAGGTTCACTAGTATGGTGACACAATCCAGTTCGCAGCAAAGGGAAATCTCCTAAGCTTCAAGCTAAATGGGACGGATCGTACCGGATTGTGACAAAGATCAATGACGTAACCTACAGGATACAGAAAGGTGCAAGAGCATGTCTTAGGAGGGGGCAGTGTTGCGCGCCACGATTAACACATGGTACTTGGCGACACTACTTACCACTAGTGCACTATAGTATCGAGTAGCAGAACTAGGAGACTTATGAACAATCTAGAAATTTCCATGGAAGAACTTTCTGGGACTATCGACACCTAGTCAATCAGGATCGATATGTACTCGAACATTCTAGATGTTTCTACAGTAGAGTAGAAGGTTCTGGAAACTATCTGAGGCCCTATATAAGGCCGGCATAGACCGCGACCGAGGCTGTATTGAATTGGCGATACAAGGAATACTTCGAAGCGATACAACTGCGAACTAAAGTGATCAGTAGTACAATTGTTTTATTATTAGTGTGGTTTAAGTTGTAATTAGTGATCTGTAATTAAAGTGTCAATTTTGGTAATTCAATCGGCTGTTTTTAATTGTCTCGAACCGCAAGCTCGTAACAGTATATTTATATTTTATTATTTCGTAGAACAGTGGCAACCACTGTGAATTTCACAAAACGCGATCAACTCGGGGTCGATCCCCGCCGGCGCCAATGAATTTAGTCCGAATTTTAATATTTTTGGGCGATCCGTCTATCTGTCTGGGTTAATCTTCAACATGACTGAATCAATTGAGATGAAACTTTACAAACATATATAAATCCATGCCACGAGAGATCTCGGCTATGTTTTATCTGAATAAATTGGAGATTTCGAAAATAACGCCACATTAATAATACCTATCGAGGTGAAGCCGCGGTAACTAATTAATTAATAATCGAAGTACCTTTATTTAAATAAATATTTAGAATTGGTAAGGCAGTTGGCCAGATCCCCTATGAACAAGTAACATGTCTTTCTCATTAACACATTACAGTGCGCTATTTTGAATTATCCAACACTTTTTATGTTTGAACACAAGAGTGCGTCCCGGTGTGGACAACTGCGACTTTTTCTGCCATCAGGGTGGCCACACTTTAGAATAAGGTCAAATATTTGACAGATTCCACAACGGGGTAAGTTAATTTGTTAGAAAAGTGTAGAGATTAACGTTTCTCGAGAAAAACTTTTATTTAAAACCTTTTCAACGATGATGACAAATAAGTTCACCTTATTCTCAACTAGGAACATAAGCGTAAGAGTATTAATCTTAATTTTTACGTTGTAGAGCCATGCTGTAGCTATATTGTGGTTGCAGCACGAATGGGTCGGCTCGACCGGGGAAGGACCACGCTCTCACAGCATACCAGCGTAAAATAGCAGCATAACGCTGCTGTGTTTCGTATGGTGAGTGTAGAGAACCGGAGACCCCTTTTATTAGAAACAAGGCATTCCATATTAGTTCACAGGGGTGACAAAGCATCTGCATTTGGATTCTTAATAGAGGCTAGAAGTAGATGTGTATGGGCCACAACATCCACTTACTATCAGGTGGACTGTGTGCTTGCTTGTCACACTTATTCTATATAAAAATTTACTCGACCCTCTGATAACAGGTACCAGTTGCACCAGGGACGCAGCGTGGTGGTGAAGTGCTCCAGCGCGGCGCACCTGCACGACAGCCTGGCCGCCCAGCGCGTGCAGCTCGACACCACCCATATCATTGCACTGAATGCACTCAACAGGAACAAGCGAACATTTACCTTCAAGGGGTAAGCATAGGGTTGCCGAACGTCTCAATTTTTGTTGTCGTCTCTATATACGTCACAGACACAGACCTCCTACAATTTCTGTGCGGGTTTTAATATGAGCTATAATAGAGGCTGAAATATGCGTGTTGGCGGACGTCACATATACAATTTTTTTCTCAGACGTGCCGCCATTTCACACAATTGAACGTGGCAGAGCTAAGTTGCAGCTATATTATGGTTGTAGCGCCAATGAATCAGCTCGTGCGGGGATGGACGACGCTCCCACACAATTTATTTTATTTATTTATTTGCTTTTTAAGGGAAACATACAGTACAATAATAAATTACACAATAAAACATATAAAAGTAATCCTAAAAACCAATGAAGTTTCCACAGATATCTAATAACATAATAAAAACTTGCCACCACAATATTATGTTGTATAAAAATTAAAATATAAAAGAATAAAACTAAATGGTATTCATAACTTTTAACTGCTTAGTACAATATCAGCTTAATGCTACTGTGTTGCGTATGTTGAGTGTTGAGAACCGGAGACCCTTTGTACTGGTAATGAGGTATCTCATTTTCTGCTACTGCTATCGATAAGCTTAAAAGGGACATGCTTTACGGGTAGTTGGCCAGTTTCCACTCCTCCGTTGTCGACCTACCACGCTTTGAACCATCATTGTTCGCCATCCGTGCAGCAAAATTGTGAAATAAGCTGTCATCATCTGTCTTTCCATCCAAGTAATATGTGGGTGTCTTCAAGGCATAAATATGTTTTTGTTATAAACTAAGTCGTAGAATTTTACGCTCTTCAGTTGCATTACCGCTTATCATCAGGTGGTTGTTACCTTGAGGTGTCATTTTCTTTGTTTGAACTTGTTTGGATGTTCACAATAATATTTTTATACGTGGAGGAGCCATGCTGCAGCTATGGTAGTATAGTTGTAGCACAAATGAGTCGGCTCGACCGGGGAAGGACCACGCTCTTACAGAATACCAGCATAAAATAGTAGCTTAACGCTGCTGTGTTTCGCATGGTGAGTGTAGAGAACCGGAGACCCTTTTTCGCCCCCCCCCCCTCGCCCCTTCCCCCTATTTTCCCCTTAATATGACCCTCCGTGGGCCGTGCATTGGCCTCTCCAATCTTCTGCATTGGCCAAATTATCGATAATATATTTTTTTTATATGAGAGGGGGCAAATGAGCATGCGGCTCACCTGATGGTAAATGACTACCACCGTCCATGAACAACTGCAACACCAGGGATATAGCATGTGCATTGCCGTCTTTTTAAAAAAGTAGGGTTTTTTCTAGAAGGTCCCTAAGTCGTATCGGTTCGGACCAGTGGTGGACCGCCAATCATCTAGATGGAATGGATGGTATCTCGATTATGTTCTCCTTTGTCACTTTAATATAAAAACAGATTTTTAGATACTTGCGCCAAATCATACACCATCTAATACGAGATATAGTGATAAAACACTGCTAGTTAATGCGAAAGAAACAATTCGACGGTACTTAGTAAATTTATATTTTTAAACATACATAAAATCAACTACCGTGTATTAGTCTAGCTGGACCGATTTAAATGAAAAATGTTGTGAATGCGTGAGTCCCTGGATGGTTTATGTTCACAATTAGACCGGTAGTTGGCGCTGTTGTCGAGATCCAGAAATCACCAGTGCGAAGCCGGGGCGGATAGCTTTTTAATTATTGTTAAAAAATATTTTCTTTTGTTGCAGATTGGGAGAAACTCACAAGAATTATCCTTTCAATATTGCTTTTTAATTTTTTTTATTTTTAATAACGTATTGTTAAGAAATGTAAGTCCAAACCAGACGACGACATTTTATCAGTGGCCGACTTTTGCCTGTCAAAGCGTCTGAGTTTACGGAGACTCGTCACATCTGATATAATAATACCTGCCGTATTCTGTATTTAACTACATACAATAATATTATATTTAAAATATATATAAAAATTCTGTATTTAACTGCATACAACCGTAGGCTTGGAACTAAGACTTGGGAAAGTACTGTCCTGTGACACTGACCTAGTACTGATAACTGACAGATATTTACATATTTGATTGCTAATATTTCGTTATTTGATAGGTGTTCCTTTCTCCGACATAACCCTGACTAAGTTCGGATCGGGCCGGCGAAAGTAAGACATACTTGTTTCAATTATTTAATTTGTGAGGCCTGACTTTTATTACACCGTCTGTCTGTCGTATGCGTTTAGCCTAAGATTTTTTGATATTTAACAATTGTGCGAGTGGATGTTACCAGTTAAGAATTTCATTTTCATACCATGTGCATTTATTTTAGTAATAAGATTGTCTATTATTTTGACTGTATTGTTTTATTTTTTTTTTATAATAAACACGATTTTGACTATGTAAAACTTTTAATTTATAAACGTGTAGTAGTAAAAGCGATATTACAATATCATAAATCATTTAAATTACATTCGATTTTCATTTTAGTGGTGTTGTATTACGAGTAGTCAACCTTGCACATGCGAAAATTACACTAATCTGCAATTATTTAAAAAAAAAAGAAAAAATCTCGACTACGGTCTGCAAGTTCGAGGATTTCACGAAGAATGACCAAAGGAGTTTTATTTTCTGTCCCTGTAGTTTTATTTGATATTCCATAAACACTCATATGTTTGGAAAATATAAATATTCGCGGAACATGGAACGGAACATGGATTTTGAGAACCGGAGACCCTTTTTACTGGAAACAAGGCATTCCATCTTAGTCATCACGGGTGACAACGCATCTGCATTTTGATCCTTAATCTATGATAGATGCAGATATCTATAGGCTACAGCATCCACTTACCATCAGGTGGACTGTGTGCCCGTTTGCCACCCTTATTCTATAAAATAAAATAAAAATAGATGGATGTCACGCGACGTAAATACCAAAAAACTATTAGGGTAGGGTAATAAATTTTTAATTGTGATGAGACAGCCTTTTTTTGGCACCAAAAGCACCTAAAGTGCTTGGAAACAGAGGTGAGAAAAATGTGTACCAGCAGGTAAATGCCGACGACAAGGAATGTTTAATTGTGTTGGTAACAGGAAATGCAGACGGTTCCCTAGCTCCTACCACGGTAGTGTTCTGCTATAAGCGGATACCTCAAGAAATTGCAGACAACTTTCCTTCAGACTGGGGTATTGGAAAAACCGACTCAGGTTGGATGACATGTGAAGCATTTTTTGAATATGTTGCCGATATATTTTATTGTTGGTTGATTAAGAATAAAATACTCGTAGCATTACCGGTTATTCTCTTTGTTGATGGGCACATATCTCATTTATCACTTCAAACTAGTTAGTTTTGTGGTAGAAAGGGGAATTGTGCTAGTGGCACTTTATCCTATCGCAACCTAATGCTATTAAACATTACTAATATTCCCTTTAACCACTTCTGGTAAGCTTAAAATGCTTGTGTTAAAAATGGTTCACGACAGTAGTCGAATGGCGGATTCGAACCCATGACCTTTCGAGTTCGCGGTCTGCGCCCTGCCATTAGACTACTGACGCTTCTAACAAAAACTACAATGGAGTCATCACAAACTGCGATGCTTATTACTGTTGGTGACGAACTGCTAATGCCGATACCAATGATTACCAGCAATTAACGTTGCTGACGGTATATTTGATACCACTCTACATCAATTAGACATCACAGCTCCTGACGGTATGCTTGAAGCGATTCCAGAATCTTCTAACGTTGATACTGTTGATGGATTAAATTCCGATATATACAGTGTTGTTAGCACTTCTGACGCTGTACTAAATTATGTACCTAGTCCCTTTTAGAAATTTTTACAAAACCAACAACCAAAAGGACACATTTAAAACACGTCTTAAAGAAATAATAAGTAATTACATAGTTTGTACCAGTTCTGACCAGCACTGAGTCAGAACTGGTACAACTCACCACCCTCAGCCCTAATCGGCTGACGGTGGGTCGAAAGATCCTAAAAAAAAAAGTTATGGCATGCTCTGACCACGAATCTGACCATTTAGGTACAAGACGCCATTTCATTCTGCTCCGACCCCAAGCTCCAGGAAGTAAAACGCGTGCTGCGCGGCATTTTATAAAACAAGATCTTTTTGTATTTTTTTTGTCCATCCGGTCTTTCCCTATTACTTTTATTTGTGACTAGCTGTGCCCCGCGGTTTCACCCGCGTCATCACGTGTCGGAGGTGCGCGACATGACCTAGTTCAAGCATTTTATAATTACAATTAAATATTTTATTTGATAGCGAAGGATGGAAAAATTGGCATAATTAATGGAGTACTTTTATCTGTCGGCATGTATGATGTAGAGCGAAGTTAAGTTTTATCCACCTTCCCTCCCCCTCCCGGTTGAGCGTCTTCCCCCGCTCCCCACCCCACGTCCCAGAAAGTGTTCCGAAGCGCGGTTTTTTCCAGTTTTAAAGAAAACCGTACACGATACATGAAAGTGTGTAGGCCTGAAATGATTCTTCAGCTATCAAACTCTTATACTTATTAATCAATTAAATTTTCAAAATACCATAGCAACGTGAAATGAAAGAGTTCAGAAATAAAGATGTAACTAATCATTGTCATACAAGTACTCAATTAATTTTTAATTTATTTTAGCTATAATGATTGAACTAACCTCACTCTTAGAAGCTTTCTATACTGGCTACCTCGCAGTTCTCACTGGACGGCTAAGGTTTAAGCGTTATTCGCGCACCCAGCCTAGTATTGAACTATTTTAATTTTACATTATCTCTTAAACTATGCGTCCAAATAACATGGTATAAAGAACAAAGTTTATCTTCATAAACTTGTCTTGATGATGAAGTAACTTTCGTTCGTAAGGATAAATAGGCCATGCCTAATAATAACGCTCATAAATCACTTTTAAATTTTCAATATTTTTTTTGTCACAAAATACCAAATTATAGCTTATGTATAAGAAATAGACATATAGTATCGCTTTTTTAAACGGAGTAAAGATCTATATTTTTCTAGAACATTGTATTTACGTATCCCTAACGATAACACCAGCGTACGTGGATAAATCATTTCGGGAGTACTTTTTCTTCTGACTTGCTTAACAAATATCCATATTTAAGGCTAGCTGAGTAATATAGCTTAATGCTAGATAGCCTATACTATTCCACATGAATCTGGCTATAATATACAAAAATATTTTTTCAAATCGGACTGGTAGTTCCAGAGATTAGTGCGTTTAAACAAACAAAAAAACAAAAAAGCTCTTCCGCTTTATTATATTATAATAAGTATATTTTATTATCTATAAGTTATTATTTTGTCTAAATACTAAGTTTTATTAAGTTATAGCCTGATAAAACTAATCCAAAGAGGGCTAAGATCGCGGTAGCGATCGCGAGATCCGATGTTGCCCCGCGCGAGTGAAGATCCGATCTTCACTCGCGCGGTGCCACATCGCAACATCTTTACCCGTTACAAATATGGCACTGATTGTTAAACATTCATTTCTCGTGTATATTCTTTGTAAGATTGCTGAAGTGGCTATGGGACTCAGTACCTCTATCAAATCTATTGCGCCTTAATGAATCTAATTAGTTTAATTATTCGAATGATTTTATTACTTTTAAATACACATTAAAAAACATTTATCTTTAACTAAAATATTTTGTAATTTTGGTCCAGTTTTCTAGATACACCAACTGCATAACTTTGTAATCCTATAGAAATATATGGCAATCGCACTAAAGGAATCTCATTTAATATAATATGTATTACTTGAGAGGTACGTTGTGTTTTCATGCGATGGCCAAGTCAATCTATGTATTTAAAACATAAAAGATTTTTAATATGGATATGGTCACTATAAGATGATTCCTGAAACCTGTGATGCATTGTATGAGTTTTTTAAAAGTATCGGGTATGGAATATTTCCACTGTTCCTGTCATATTAAAATCTTTTTAATTGAAAAGTCATTGGTTTGTTTAAAAATTGAATACCATTTATTTATTTTAAAAAAAATTCTCGCTCTTGTCACAAGGTTTTATCAAACTTGTTTAGTCGTTGAGAAAATGGAATTGACTCAAGAAAATTCAAGAGCGATGATTTATTATGACTATCGAAGTGGTTTAACACAAAAACAGTGTGTTGTTCGGATGATTTCTGCATTTGGTGATGAAGCCCCATCCAAAACCACAATTTATCGCTGGTTTGCTGAATTTCAACGTGGACGTGTCAAGCTCAGTGATGATCCCCGTCAAGGTCGTCCAAAAACTGCAGTCACCCAAGAAAACGTTGATGCTGTGCGTAAGCTGATTGAGGAAGATCGACATGTGACATACCGCGAAATTCAGGCAACTTTAGACATTGGCATGGGTAAAATACAAATAATCTTGCATGAACAATTAGGTGTAAAAAAGATGTTTTCCCGATGGATACCGCATTCGCTCTGTGAAGAGCAAAAAGCGGCTCCCGTTACTTGGTGCGTCAGAACTCTCGAAAGATTCCACGCAGGATCCTCAAATGCTGTATACAACATCGTATCAGGATATACGCGTACGAACCCGAAACAAAAACTAGTCACGAGTTTGGGTGTTCGAAAATGAGTTAAAGCCAACAAAAATTGTTCGTTCACGGAGTGTTGCAAAAAAAATGGTGGCCACGTTTGTCTCCAAAACCGGCCATGTTAGAACTATTCCTCTTGAGGGACAAAGAACGGTTAATGCAGAATGGTATGCTAGCATTTGTTTGCCACAGGTCGTTTCTGAACTCCGTAAAGAGAACTGCAACCGCCACATCATCCTCATTCACGACAATGCGAGTTCTCACACCGCACACAGAACAAAAGTTTTTCGAGCAAGAAAACATAGAATTATTAGACCATCCGCCGTACAGCCCCGACCTAAGCCCTAATGATTTCTATACTTTCCCTAAAATAAAGAATAAATTGCGTGGACAGAGATTTTCATCACCTGAAGAAGCTGTGAACGCCTACAAAACGGCCATTTTGGAGACCCCAACTTCCGAATGCAATGGTTACTTCAATGATTGGTTCCATCGTATGGAAAAATGTGTCAAATTTCGCGGAGAATACTTCGAAAAGCAATAAATACATTTTTAAATAGTAATGTTGTGTCACTTCCTTGATTCTCGAAATTTTCAGTGCCGCCCTCGTAACAGCCATGTTTTTAGTTTACGTAGGTACTATAGCAGTTTCTAAAGAAAAATCGTATATGTTAAAGTAACCATGGTTATTTTCATTTTAATCTTATGTATAAGGTTAAGGAGTTCCTTAATGAGTTATATGTGTTAATATAAATAAGGAGTACCAAATATTTTTCTTTTGTATTTGTAAAATATACAATACATTTACAACTCTTTATTGCTTCGCTCTTAAAATTTTGTTCTTTCTTTTAATTTTGCCCTCGGTAATATTAAGTCTAATTTCAAAACAACTTCATTTTTGTTCTGTATGGAAACTATACGTTGCAAACCCCAACCCACTTGCATTCCGCAGGAATCTTAAACTATTGTTAATGCGTAATATTTGTAATTACTTATTACATAATTAGTATTATTAAGCTATCGTTAGACATTAACACAACCTCTGGATCTAAAATTAAAAAAATTGTGCTCGATATTGATATCAATAATGATAAATGAAATCTTTTTGCTGTATTATTGTTAAATTGTTGATTTGTTTTATAATATACTATAAGTAACTTTATTACATGCTGTGCTAACCTGTAAATAGTGAGGCATTTATTACTAATTTATTCAATTAATTTTAGTGTACTGTTGGTCAGCTAAATAAAATAAATAAAATAAAATCGTGCGCGTCTACGGTATCAAATGTAAAAAGCACCATGCTCGTTTGTCACCCTATCTTATAAAAAAAGGCAAACAAGCCAGCAGATGGGCAGCAGCATCTTCCTGATAACAACCCAAAATGATGAAAAACTGCGATTGCAAATCCGCCAACCAAGCGTGGCAACTATGGCAAAATCTCTATGAGGCAATCTACAGGGTAGGCCCTATGTTCAGCAGTGGATTTCTATAGGATTACAGCCTACGAACGGATGGATAATGAAAATAATAATGTAATAATTACAATTACAACAAAGATTTTAATTTATTTTCATTTGGGTAGATAATATTTTACAGCTTAGAGCGTTGCCTCCGTTTCTGAATTAATTCAGATCGCACGCGTACTGTGTATTCATACTTTTTGCAGACATACACAACACAGCAAACAGACAGACTTTTTATATAGTAGTCTGAAGTAAAATTATCTACCAAGAAGATGTTCGTAACTTCTGACTTGGGGAAACATACATTTGTCTTGCCTCCCACAAACAGATAGTCTTTTCCCAGCTTACAACTTCTAGGTTACGTTTGGTTTTGTCAAATATTTTATAAAAACATTTGTTTTGCGTTAAATTGATATAACTACCTAAAAGCTAATATACGTAGATGCTATTTACGCTGAAAGCACTTCGATTTTTGTTAAATTTTCACGAAAAATTTTAAATATCCGTTAACCCGGCAACTTTGATAACTAGTTTCCACTTCTAAGATTTTTAAGACGTTTTTCGGTCATATTTACTTGCAGTAGCAACATCGGTGTTTTGAGCCGGCAATTTTTACGTGTTTTGTTACGTTATTTTGCCGACTAAGAGAATTTTGTAAGGAAGCTACCCTACCTGACTATTTACCGGGTTATTTTGCAATAACCAGCCAAATTTGCAGACAAGGTTCAGAATTAATAATATAGGCAAATAATGAAGAAAAATTGATTAAAGAAAATCTCAAACAATCTTTCCTTTTTAACATACATACATTAAAAATAACACTCGAATTGACAACCTCCTCCTTTTTGAAGTCGGTTAAAAAAAGTAGGCTCTTTTGTAGAAGGTCCCCGAGTCGTATCGGTCCGGAAAAATCGCTGGTGGACTACCACCATTCGACTACGATTCCACAAGGAAAAATTGTGCGAGGAAGAAACTTCTAGTTAAACGCACAGTGGATGACCGCCAATCATCCAGATATGGATGGGCTATAAAGTTTTAAAATAAAAGACACTATTGGACAATGTACAACTTTTTATTCCATTAAAAATCTTAAATAACAATACATACTTACAGATCTAATAAAAGGTGGGTTAAAGTATTTTGACACCGCACACCTGATAAAATGCAAAATTCATTACATCGGATCTTTTCTATTATGACTTTGTCTTCGATACGGGCTTCTTGATTAACCCTGGAAATATAAAGGTATTTGATTAAAATTTTACTGGGTTTAATAACTGGCAAGCAATAGACGTATGACCGAGTAGTGGTAGTCTGAAAATATCCATTGCCATTGTTCGTGAGTCGTAAGAAACGACTGAGGGAAACAAACCAGATGAGATGAGCACCAGAGTCTTCCTAATCTATAGAAATAAAGAGGTAAAATTAAAAATTTTATAGAACCGAATTCAATATAAATTATTAAGAATAACTCAAAAATTATTGGTCAGATCTTGATCAAATTTATATGGGACCACATGAAAAGCATCAGCTATCAATTAAAAAGGGAATCATCGAAATCGGTTCACTAAAGAAAAGGCTGTTATGAGGCAACACACATAAAAAGACAGTAGAATTGAATACCTCCTCCTTTTTGAAATAGGAAGAAAAATTTAAGTGTCTGTTGGTAATGTCAAAATAATAAAAATTAAAAAAATTGTACAACCGACTTCAATATAAATTATTACGAATAACTCAAAAACCACATGAGAAGCACCAGCTTTCAAATTAAAAAAATAAACATCGAAAACACGTCACACACGCAGCAATGGTTATTTCAACAAAAAACTATCAAAGACTTTTAGAAAGATCGTTTGTAAAAAGTTGTAGAGCCTGCATAAGGGCAGGAGGAGGCCAGTTCGAGCATTTTCTGTAAATTATTTTAAATTAAAAAAAATTGGATATAACTCATTTTCTTTTCATTAATTTACGCACCCTTAACAAATGGAAAACAGTACAAACTATATTTCAAAGCTGTACATAACACAGCCCCACAAAAAAATAGAAATTATTTTCTCCGATATCTGAGGAGGGGTTTTTGGAGTTTCTGAATCCGAATCCGGGGCCCGTTTAACCCCATCACGTCAGGGTTAAGGGCATCTGAAGGTCAAATTGCGGAATGACTATTAAAAAATCTGGAAAAATTTATATATATGTTTTCGGGGTCGCTAAATCTGAATCTCTTTCTCTTGACCTTGAAGTATCAGAATCAAGGTCAAATGAAGGTCAAAACCATAAGATTTGATGATATGATATTTTTGACCCCGGATTCCGAAAGAGCAGAAAATTTTACGTCCGAATATGTATCGACTTTTTTTTAGAACAGACCTTTGTACCAACCTTTGACCAATCACGTCGTAATATAACGATATAATATTTTCTTACTCCGGATTCTGAAAGAGCGAAAAATTTCATCCGTGTGTTTGCATCCATGGCACCTCAACGTGGTGAGTGCGGGCAACGGAAATGTACCGCTATCCGGCAAAGTCCCTGGAACGGGACGCGTATGCCGTCATGGCGTACACAACGGAAAAATTTACGATACAGGGGGATGGAACTTCAGTATCGGCAGCTGGTCAGGGTGGAAAAGTGGGCCCGCAGGCGTCGTCTTCCTATGGGGTTTTCGGGTTGTCATGCTCATGTTTATGGGTTCTACTACTTGTACCTTTATACTCTGGTGAGGCCAAGGTAGCTCTACTGAAGATCCGAGAACGGTTTTACTGGATCCACTGTCGTGACGATGTCAAGGACTGGTGCCGCAAATGTACAAGTTGTGCGGCTGTAAAAGGACCTCAAACTCGTAGTAGAGGCGCATTGAAATTGTATAATGTTGGTGCAACATGGGAGAGGATAGCCATTGACGTTGCGGGGCCGTTTCCGGAAAGTGAAAGTGGTAACAAGTATTTCATGGTTGTGATGGATTACTTCACTAAGTGGCAAGAAGTCTCTGCCATTCCAAATCAAGAAGCTTCAACAGCTTGCAGATAAACTAGTTCATGAAGTCTTCTGTCGTTTTGGAGTACCTTTAAAGATTCACAGCGATCAAGGAAGGAATTTTGAGTCTCAAATATTCCAGGAAACTTGCCAAGTTATGGATACTCATAAAACAAGAACAACTTCTTACCACCCACAATCTGATGGCATGGTAGAACGATTTAATCAGACATTGGAGAGGTACCTAGCAAAAGTTGTGGAAAAACGGCAAAGAAACTGGGACAGGCACATACAACCGTTTTTGTTGTCATATCGAAGTGCTGTTCACGAAACATCAGTGACGCCAGCTTTCGTAAACTTTGGGAGAGAATTACGGCTGCCTGATGCCCCACGCAGTATGTCAAATTTCACTGTTTTTGTCGCTCACACAATTTAGAATTTGTCCAAACAAGGCGAGCAGGTAGTAAAGTAAAATTTTCGAGGGCGACAGATGTACTTACCTAATAAATACATGCAATGGTAAAAAAAAAACTATCTGCCAACCATTTTGTAATGAAATGCATACTTTTACACATTAACGGCTATAGCTTAGTAAGTGATGACATTAAGTACATGGTATGCTACTGTTTCAGAATCCTCATGATGTAGGCAAATTTTTTAAATGGTCGGCCACACAGATACCATACGTTATATTGTTTCACCACAGATGCTCAAACTTATTTTCCAGATTATCCACCATTACTGGGACAGCCTGTATATATTTTTTTCATATGTATATATGAAAATATAAACCTGTTATTTTGACATTACAAACCATGAAGCAAATACAAAGAGGAGACGGCATAAGCAACTGTGCACTGTGATTCTAAGTAGGTCCTGATGTCATCATAGTGGGCGTGGCTTTATTTAGTATACTGTCAGCATTCGTCCTGTGCGCTTATGTGTTAAAAATCGCAAATCAGTGTATTTTCGTAGTATTAAGAAGAAAAGGATGAAGTGTTGTGTTTTATCGTGTAAAAAGTACTCATAGACGCTCTGATGCTACGAATGGCATTACATTTCATTTCTAAGTAATTTTACACCTAATTTATTGAAATAGTTCTAGAAAAATGTCTTTGCATCGGCTTTCAAATATAATTAAATATATTCGACACTAGATGGCGACACTTTGTGTTATGTGAACTAAAAACATAAAGGTAGAGCTCAGTATTGGTAAAATAATCATACGAAGGTGCTGAAATTTGTTTGCATTCAGACAAATAAATTTTAATTGCCAAAATATTATTTTTCTAGTTTATAACCATTTTGTGAACATGCCGCCATCTATTGTCAAGGTAGCTAAACTACATTGCAACATCGATATGGAACGATTCGAGTAGTTTCACGTAAGCGGGGTTTAACATCCCCTCACCCTGCAAATTGTCACGCGTTGTTACATAGTAAAATCTAATTACAACACCTCTTTGTATTTGCTTTATGTTAAACACAGACACTACAATTTTATTTAATTGCATAGATTAGGAATGATAATACATTCATTTAAGTTGAATAATATATAACTTTCAAATAAATTTGTCGTTAGGGTACGGGCGCCACCTGCTGTAGGTTAATTGTACTATGCATATAACCTTCTCACAAGAGGAAGCAATAAGTTGACAAAGTTTTAGCGCAATCTGATGAACGGTATGGCAGCGCATAAAATACGAATTAACAAACATTCATTTTTATATATAAGACTAGCTGTCCCGGAGACTTCGCCCGCGCGTAATTTATTAGGACTGGATTTCATGGGTTTTAATTTTTTGCGCAGATCGCTAATGTTTTTTCTAAAATAAAAGTAGCCTAAGTTACTTCTTATAACATCAGCTATCTGCCGGTGAGTCAGGTCAAAATCGGTCCAGCCGTTTCGGAGATTAGCCGGACCAAAAAGACAGACAGAAAGACACATACAAAAATTTTAGAAATCGTGTTTTTTATAAGTACCGTATATACTTTCATATGCATAATTATAGTAAAAAGCTGTTATTTCGACATTACAAACAGTCACTTGAATTTTATTTATTTGTATAGATAAGGGTAACTAACGAGCACACAGTCCACCTGATGGTAAGTGGATGCTGTGTCCCATAGACATATACATCTATCCTCGATTACGAATCAAAATGCAGATGCGTTATCACCCCTGAGGGTTAAGATTGAATGACTCGTTTTCAGTAAAGTGTCTCCGGTTCTCTGCACTCACCATAGGAAACACAGCAGCATCAAGCTGCTATTTCACGCTTGTATTCCTAAGAGCGTGGTGATCATCAAACTTTTGGCGAGGATACGCTGTTAACCATATAAAAGCCCACAGTAACGAGAGGGAGACCTGCGACACCCTCGGAATTATGGCTTGACGCACTCTACTACGGCGTGTTAAATGCAACAATATCAACTAACTTGGTATATTCGTGTTAACTTTCCTTGTACTGCTCTGACTGCTCCCGATGCTGTTTTGATGTGACATTGTGTTGAATTTTGTTAAGCTTTTTCCTGGAACAAAACATTTTTGTTTATTTAATTTAAGTAACACGTAAATCAGTATTTACCATTGCAATTTGAGCCCAGGTATTCTCGCTCGCATACTGTGAATTCGAGTCAAGGTCTATCATGCCTAGATTTAAATATCTATACATATAAATAAAATTGAAGTATCTGTCAATAACTGCCGTGTATTGAGCTTAAACAGGGGGTTATTTGCATGCCATTAACATGAATTATTAATGCATGAATCAGATGAAAAGAGACCAACGGAAAGATCTTCAAGAGATAGACATCGCAGGTGGAATGATAGAGGAAGAAATCGACACCACAGCCCTACTACCCCTGTTGTGGAAGATCGAAAAAAAGGGGCTGAAAAATCAAATATCCCATCCCTTATGCAAATGCCTGTCCGGGCACCAGAAAATCAATTACTAAACTCGCATTCTCAATGGAATATGCATGGTGGCTCTGAATCTGAGCCAGAAGCTAACACTGAAGATAGGGAAATGGCATATCAAGAACATGTGGGTCCTTGTCCTCCAGGCCCTGGATCTATGGTAACATGTCCAATGGAACCAAATCAAATGGGACTTGATCAAATGGGCTCTGGACCTAGTGGTCCAGGACCCATGGGTCTTGGACCGATGGATCCTGGACCAATAGGTCCTGGGCCGATTGATCCTGGGCCGATTGATCCTGGGCCGATCGATCCTGGACCGATTGGTCCTGGGCCGATAGGCCCTAGCTCTATGGTTCCTGGACCGATGGGACCTGGCCCCATGGGTCCTGGACCTATTGGCACAGGTCCCATGGGGGGTCAAGAGGACCCGGTCCACTGGGTCTTGGACCGATGGGACCTAGCCCAATGGATGCACCATCGATGAGACCAAATATGGACGCCATGACATCTCGCTCTATGGCTTCAGGCTTAATGAGGCCAGGTTCCATGGGTTCTGGACAAAATATGACCTAATCCTATGTTGGGGCCCAATGGTCCAATGCCTCCATTTCTAGGAGGACCACCTAATTTTCCTATGACACGTAATTTTTGGGCCCAAATGGCCCTAGAGGACCAATTCGTGAGCAAGAGTGTGGTCCAATGCCTCCATTATTTGGTTCTCCATTTCCTAATCCAGCAATGATGGGTCCTAATAGGCCACCTAATTCTATAAAGCCCCCACCAACTCTATGAATAATGCTAATGTGCCTTTCATGGGTTCCCACAAATATGAATATGATAGTGATGAAGACACCTCTGATGGCACTTGGGAGCACAGATTGCGCGCTAAGGAGATGAACGCAACTGGGCGAATGAGCTTACTAAACAAGCCGCTGGCAAACATCATATTGGTGACTGACTTATTGCCGCCTGAAGAATTGAAAAAAATTATGGAAAAGTACTCAGCAATTAAGAATGGCAAAGAAACAGATCTGAGCGATTACAAAGAATTCAAATTGAAAGAGGACAATGTTGGTTTTAAAATGCTGCAAAAGCTAGGCTGGAACGAGGGTTAAGGACTCGGAGCCGAAGGATCTGGTATTGTAGAACCTATTAATAAAGCAAACCAGCCTGTCGCTAACTTAGGTCTGGGAGCGTCGTCGTCGGACATAGTGTCGTCAGAGGACGATGAGTTCGACGCCTACAGGAAACGCATGATGCTGGCGTACGGATTTAGACCAAACCCTTTGAACAACCCAAGGCCGCCTTATTATTGAAAAAAGATGTACAGTATATAGAAGATAGTTTTTATATTGACATTAATAGAATTTCTTTGCATTGGTAATTTAAATATAAATATTAACTATTCTTAACTTTGTACCTAAAGTTTATGAATATATTAATATTAAAAACATTATAGGAAGTAAACTTTTACTCTTTTGCATGTGTGGCTTTGTGAGACATGTGGGTCATAGATATGATATGATAGTAACCTTTTTTAAATGTTTGTCTGTCTGTTCAGGCTAATCCTTCAAAGGGCTGAACTAATTGTGATGAAACTTCACAAACAGATAAAGAGGAATGTCAGGCAGGAGTGATCAAGCCTATATTTAAATCGAAAGGTTTGGAGTATTTTATTTTTTTTGGAAAATCGTTAATACGGTGATTTTAAATCTAAATGATGACGGTAGCTAACTGTGAAGGATGATGGTGAGATTCACCATTTAAATATCGGTTGGTATCGGTATTTTTTCTGTACACAGTATGACCAATAGTGTTATCAGGATTTCGGATGACTAAAACATCTAGGAAAGCTAAAGTATTGTTTGCCTCTAACTCCATTGTGAATTGTATTTTAGGGTTTATGGAATTAAGGTGGTTTAAAAATGCAGTTACTTTGTCAGATGGTAAAATTGTGAAAGTATCGTCTACGTACTGGACGAACCTACAATAAAGGTATTGTCGAAAGGCTTGAATTTTGCTATAACGCCGCAAAAAATCCCGTACAAGGAAATTATCTGTAGTGTTGAGGATTGTCTGTTTAAGAATAATATCGGTAAAGAGGATTTAGAGGCTATACGTCAAGACATTTCGTCCTTGTTACTTCGAAGTTCAGCGCCGAAACTAAATCTCCCCAAAAACGAATTTAAAGCGTTGTACAACTTACGCAACAGACCAGAGCTCACGATTCTCCGCGCGGATAAAGGAAATGCTACGGTAATAATGGACACGTCAGAGTATAATTTCAAAATACAACAACTTTTATCGGACGTAAGTACATACAAAAAGGTCAAAATAGACCCTACAACTAATACACTTAAAACAACTACTGATTTAATAAAGAAATACTCCGGAAAATTAGATCTCGACGTGAATTCGACAATACCATCATGTGCCAAACCACCGAGGTTGTATGGGTTACCGAAAATACACAAACCAAACGTTCCACTACGTCCTATAGTAAGCCAGATCGATTCACCAACTTATAAGTTGGCTCAACACTTGGCAAAAATACTGTCACCACTAAGAGGACATACCAGAGCACACACAAAGGATTCATACCATTTTGTTAGTGAGATAAAAGACCTACATCTCGCTGACAATGAAACTATGGTCAGTTTTGATGTTTAGTCACTATTCACATGCCTACCTATTGAAGACTGCATCTCAATTGTTACTAGAAAGCTAGAAGATAACAACATGCCTACAGAATATGCAGTATTACTCGAACACTGCCTCACATCTGGCTATTTATAGTGGAAAGAAGAGTTCTACATGCAAGTAGACGGAGTGGCAATGGGCTCACCTGTATCTCCCGTAGTCGCCGAAATATTCATGGAGGACTTTGAGGAGAAAGCCCTTCTTACTGCTCCTGTAAATCCAAGATTCTACAAGCGGTATGTAGATGATACTTTCACAATTTTACCATCTGACAAAGTAACTGCATTTTTAAACCACCTTAATTCCATAAACCCTAAAATACAATTCACAATGGAGTTAGAGGCAAACAATACTTTAGCTTTCCTAGATGTTTTAGTCATCCGAAATCCTGATAACACTAATGATCATACTGTGTACAGAAAAAATACCGATACCAACCGATATTTAAATGGTGAATCTCACCATCATCCTTCACAGTTAGCTACCGTGGGAAAATCTTTGTTTCAGAGAGCACGAGGGATCTGTGTCAGAAAACATCTGGCCGCCGAGCTTCAGCACGTCGAGCAAGTACTGCAAGACAACAAGCTTCGGGTCCCGCGCCTACGTCACAGTGACCGAGTGAAGCCAGCCACAGTCGAGCGTGTGCCTGCTGTACTTCCCTATGTCAGAGGAGTCACAGACAAGGTTAGCTACATCTTGAAGCGAGCTTCCATTAAAACATACTTCAAGCCGCTGAAGAAGATTGGTCAATTTTTACCATCCGTCAAGTGTCATATCCCTCTACAAGATGCAGGAGTGTACAAGCTGGATTGTGAATGTGGTTTCTCGTACATAGGACAAACAAAAAGATCTATTAAAACCCGCGTTAAAGAACATATAGCTGACGTGAAGCATCGACGTATCGGGAAGTCTGTAGTTTGTGAACATGTTCAAGATCGTCCCCGCCATTACATTAGATTTGATAGACCACAAATCCTCGCAAAAGAACACCGATTCCTCCCAAGGATGAGTCGCGAGGCTATTGAAATTAAAAAACATCCTAATTTCAATAGAGAAGATGGATGGGTGCTGCCATCTGCTTGGGATCCCATAATTAATAAAATCAAATCCAAACCCAAGTATACCACTGCTAGACTTCAAGATACTGTAAGCTCATTCTGCGTAAATCGAACCAAAAATTAATATTAAAAAACTGAAGGTAGCCGGGCTAACTATGACAGCAGGACGTCAAACACCTCAGTCCCCCGTGACCACGGGTGCTGGAAAGCATCCGAAACGTCGGGAATATATTAAAAAAGAAATAAGTTAATATACGCGATAAAATCCGTAAAATTAGTTTTATTTAATAATGAGGATATCTACAATAAAACCAGTGACCATCATAGCCCAATGGTTTAGTAAGCTGAAGCGGCAATGGGCCGGCTATATAGCTCGAAGAACCGACAACCGATGGGGAGGAAAGGTTCTCGAATGGTCCCCACTAGATGGAGTGACGACTTGGTAAGACATACAGGAAGTCCATGCTATGAGTGCAACTCAGGACCATGCTGTGACATTCTTTGGGAGAGGCCTAGGCTGTAATGATGTTCATATAGGCTTTGGTTATAACCCCCACAAATCTACTGGCAATCAGACCGTCCATTTTTATAAGTCGCCTCTTAAGATTCCCGTGGATGAGAAAACCAATTCACTGCTAGAGGGATTTCACCAAAAATTCCTTAAACAGTGGGGATCCTTATTATATATATATATATATATATATATATATATATATATATATATATATATATATATATATATATATATTATCCTTAGAATGATGAAGATACTCACTAGGACTGATCCTTAAAGGGTTCTTCTTCAGTATATTCCCGGCGCTCGACTTCTTCTGTGGTATGTTTGACGACGTCTGCGAATTAGGATTACGTTTATCAAATTTGGGAGCTTTTAAGAACCTGTTGTTCATAGATTTTGTAATGGAAACTTTTGGTTTGTTTTGGTTTTTCAAAATCTTTGAATATACTGTGTTGCCAGATAATTTATGTTGTTTTGTGGTAGCTCCTTTACCACTATTAATTGGTTGGTTTTCGATATTCTTAGATTTCTCCACTACAGTTTCTTTTAAGTATTTCGTTTTGTTAATCATTTGAACTTTATCAGTTACAATATTTTTAGTAGGTTTTGATTTCATTTTGTCTGTGGCAACGTTTTTTTCTTTTTTATTATCATCGTTATCTTCAAACATGTTTTTACTTTTAGGTTTATCGATCTTTTGTTTTGTTTCAGTTTGTTTTGAAACCTGTTTATCTTTGATATTTGTATTTACATTTTCTTTCACCGTTTTCGTATTTAACGTATCGGCTACTTTTGTTGATTTCACGGTGTTGCCAGATCTCTCTCTGTTAGTATCGACATTTTTAGGAATGTTACTTTCATCAGAAATTATTTTCTTACCTTTTATCGGTTTATTTCCTTTATCCGCATTCTCGTTATCTTGATTGCGTTTACCGTTGATATTATTATTATCTTTCACCATTTTATTAGGCTTTTTCACATTTTCATTATTGGTCTCTCTAAACTCTCTGTCTTTAGTTAAATTATCTGACTTTTTCGTTTTACGCTCGATTTCTTTGTTATTATTATTGACCTTCTCATATTTTGTTCCATTCGCAGTTCTCTTGTGACTAACTATATTTTCAGGTTCTAGTACTTTCTCAGGAATATCATTGCTCTGTATCTTTCCTTCGATGTTACCACCATCGCCAATCTTGTTCGCACTTTTCACGGTTTTGCCAGTCTTGTTATTTTCCACTACATTTTCTTTGCCTTTAGGCTTTATCTTCTTGGGAAGCGTTTTCGGTGGTGCCATCACTTCACGATTCTCTTTCTTCTTCTTTGGTAACGGCATTTCCGGTTCTTTATCTAAATTTGTGCGTCTTTTTTGTATCCTCACTGTCTCGGACTCGGATTCTGTGCTCTCTTGTACACTGTGATTCAGCCCCTGGGCTTCTAAGCATGTGCTGATGATTTTAGCCAATAATAACGTCCTCTCATCTGTGTCAAGCATTGGATCAGACAGTTGTTTGTGTGCTTGAGTTACTACCTTAATATACGATTCATCTAAAAAAGAAATAAAAAAACATTAACATATCAAAATAACTGTTTGATTAATCACTCTTTTTTTTTAAATTGAAGTAACAAACGAACTAACAGTTCACCTGATCATGCTACAAGGGATGCAAAGATACGCGTTTCTGCCGATACAAAACCAGCACCGATACTCACATAAAAATATCGGTGTTACCGATACAATTTTATTTTGAGATATGCAGGTCTAATCTGGGGCCAATAAGATCTATTGTAATAGGTATATATTATGACTATAGTTCACTGCTAAGTCCTCATATCTTCAATGAATTGAAGGAGTTACTGAGCTATGAGCAATTTTCCTTTTTCTGAAATACTTAGTTTTCCAGATGAGTTATGAGTTACGTTTGCGCATTGAGGGCAGTTAGGACGTGCATAGATGTTTCTTCCTACCAATACAGATACCGATGCGTAAATTAAATTGTATGTAATTAGTAAATTGTAAAGACGATAAAATAGAACATAAGAAGAGTCCTCACACCTAGCCATAATTAAGAGTGTCACGTCATAAAAGGCCTCATTACCCCATAGACTGAGAAATGTCAGTTGGTTAACATGTTATGTGAAGATGAGCTTTAGAAACTTTGTTATTTTTATCACGGAGATATAAAAAATACAATCATAACTAACTAAAAACAGATAATAATTTCAAAACTGAAACACAATTGCACATACCCATATACTCCAAATCGAACTTCATGCGGTGATGAAATGGGGCAATGGGTGACGACTTGTTCTGCAAGGTCCAAGTAATTTCGAGAAGATTCGAACATTTTAACTGGTAGCCGCCTTCTGCCTGACAAATAAAAACAATAAACCATAGATACACATCTTTATTTTCAAGCATTTATAGTTATTTTCTATAGAAAATAACCGTTCGATGTCAATGCTTTTTCTTCTTTGTTTTGTTTTTAGAAGCGTTAGCCCCCACAAAGAGTTTACACTATATTTACCAAAAATAATTTTGAGTTGATATCAGAAAGATTCAACCTAGGGTTAAGTAAAAATTGCGGGTGCCAAACCTGCTGATGACGATGATGATAATGATGATTGCATCATCATCAACATCGTCATCATTACAGCCCTTCACAAGTCCACTGCTGAACATAGGTCTCCCCCTGCCAAGCTTAGCAAAATTCTTCCTACGAGTCGATTTGTGGAGGAGGGCGACATTCCTACGTAACTACGCCTATCTACGCAGTGGACCTTTATAGGCTGTAATGAGCAAATAGACCCCCACATTAGGTCTTACTCCTGTGTTGTGGAGGCGTAATACATACAAGTTTCACATAGACAAACATTCAGATTCAAAACAAATATTTGTAGACCAAACAAACCTTGCACTGCGCGGTACCGTAGCACCCCAAATATTATACGCTAATCACTTCGCTACCGAACTATACAGGGTAATTTGGCAATATCCGGCCAAATTTGCAGAGAAGGTAAGAAATATAGGCAAATGGAATGGTAAAGAAAAATTTATTTAAAAAAATCTCAAACACTTTTTTTTAAATAAATGTCTGTCCTTTTTATCTTTTAAATTCAAAATGCGTGGTTTTAACTGATTTCACTGCGCACACACACATTGGTAAGAGTCGATCGGTACGTAATAAACATTGTTGCCCATAAATCACATTCAATTTGGGACAATTTAAAATAAAAGTGGAAGCTTTACTCGTATTTTCAAAACTGCAATAACATATATATTTGAACTTAAGTTTAAAATTTGGCTAATCTTTGAAAGATAATCCTGTATAACAAATAGTAATTTATCTCCATTATTTATTAGAGTCCATTTGTTGGAGTTTAGTAAGAGTCGACAGAAATAAAACTTTTTGACCCCGGCCCAAGCTAGTGGACTCATGATATGGAGGCCATCAAAAGCCTACTCTTTTTTAGGGACCGTAACCAAAGGTTAACCAACGAGATCCTCCTATTACTAAGCCTCCGCTGTCTGTCCGTCCATCCGTCTGTCTGTCAGCGAGTTGTATTTCACGATCCGTAATAGGTAGACTTCATTTTTCACAGAATATGTGTTTCCGTTGCTGCTATAACAACAAATAATAAAAAAATTAAATTAAAATTTAATAAACTCCCATATTAGAAACCTGTATTACGATGGTACGGAACCCTTCATGCGCGAATCCCACTCGCACTTGGCCGGTTTTTAAAAGGATGTAACAGGGATATTTCCCCGCTGTTGCAGTTATTCATGGGCGGCGATAGTCACTTCCCATCACGTGAGCCGCATGCTCGTTTACCCCCTATTATATATAAAAAACAAACTTAGAAAAAATTAGCTCATTGACTCAAGTGGAGTCACCTTTTTGGAAGGGAAATAAAACAGAAGATGAACAGCGGCATCTCATATAACAACACTAAATAAAAAGCTGTGGTTGCCCACTCGCCTACCGAGTGTGACTAGAACTATACTAAATATCTCCCAATAAAATAATCTATAGAGAAGATAATGAATAAATAAATAAATAAATGAACAAATTAATAAACGAATATTTTACTCACCATTAACGTCATGTACAAGGAATTCCCATATTTCTCGGCGAGCCGCGCGAGGGTTGTACGACGAGATCGATGGGCGACCGAATAACTTTTAAAAACCTGTAAGTATATATTTTATATATAAACAGAATTTTACAAATATGAAAAGCAACTTAATAGGTAGGTTTTTACTACGTGGTTATTTCCTGTCTGAAGTATATTGAGAGCCAATATAGTCACAGGCTGTGAGACATTCCATCTTGATCTTCAGTGGTGACAGCTCACCTCACCGTAGCCTTCGTTGTTTGATCTTGGAGTGCATTGGTCACTTACCGTAAAACTGTAAATTCGTTTGACATTATAATTTTATAAAAAGAAAACAATGGTGTAATTTACACTTCAGCGTTAAATTTTTCTACTTTTTAACTTTCCGCTTTGAAAATAATTTTCAAAAGTTATAGATTCCGGTGCGATTTTGCGCATGCGAGTTGTCATCAGATCTCCACGTTTTGAGGTCCTAGAAAGCCGATCCGACTATTCCCGGCTGGACGTCCAGTCGTGTGTGTATGTATGTAAATACAATTTTGTCGTACGATATCTTTAGAACGAACTAACCGATCGAGATGGGCGATACGGCGTTCGAAAGTGTTCATTGAGACTTCGAGCCGTTTCAAAGATTTTCAAAAAAATCAAATCCAAAAAAATCAAATCCAAAAAAACAATAATCAAATATCCTGCAGGATGAACCGTATTTTTCTTAATGTTAACTGCTAGAAGCGGGCCTCTCCCACTGTAGGGAAGATTTTCCTCAATTGTCACAACAGACAGACAGACTTACAATTGCAGTAACAGGCCTTCCATTTGTCCATCGCTGGACTGGGTATTTTAAGCCTGTCGTAAAAGAGACGATTATACTGCCATCCATCAGAAGACAGGAGAAAGAAATACTTCAGAAAGAATGAATGCGGAAAGAGTGACAAAGCAAATTTACGAAAAATAAGTGGAGTCAGCAAGGGACGTGCGGCGTTTAATGTAGTAGAGCCATGCTGCAGCTATATTAGTGGTATAGTTGTAGCACGAATGGGTCGGCTCGACCGGGGAAGGACCACGCTCTCACAGAATACCAGCGTAATAGCAGCTTAACAGTGCTGTGTTTCGTATGGTGAATGTAGAGAACTGGCGACCCTTTTTACTGGAAAAGAGACATTCCATCTTAGTCCTCAAGGGTGACAACGCATCTGCATTTTGATTCGTAATCGAGGATAGATGTAGATATCTATGGGCCGCTGCAACCGCTTATCATCAGTTGGCCTGTGTGCTTGTTTAGCACCCTTATCATATAAAAACAAAGCGATGCACTAAAAGGAATTTTATTGACAAAATTGGATGTGCCAAATCAATAGTACATTTAACCAACAAGAATATATGCGTAGATATATGGGTGTGAAAGACACCAGAGAGGTGTGTCAAGATCATGCCAAATGGAAATCCGTAGTATATGCCCACCCCTCTGAGTGACATGCATGAGATTTTATGTTTATATTCTATAGGCCGTATGAGAAAGCTCAAAGTCGCTCAGCGAGCTATGGGAGGGATATGCTCAGCGTTTCGCTGTGTGATAAGACTTAAAAACGAGGATATCCATAGTAGAACCAGAGTAACCGACATAGCCCAAAGAATTAGTATGCTGAAGTGGCAATAGGCCGGTCATATACCTCAAAGGCGTCACTTGGTCTGGTCAAGTTAACCAATACCGACTGGTTCAGCTCGCTCTCGTGCGCCTTCTTGACCGCTGCCACCTTAAGGCCCCGAAAGGAGGGCGCTCCGAATCTCCGATGCTGGAATATTTTTATTTTTTACTTTATTGAAGCACTATCTACAGTTTGGACAAAATAAATAAACATGTTTCAGATATGTTATGTTATATTAAGCTTTTACAGTTTACATTTGTTTTGCAAAAATTTTTATATGTTTTTATAGCCTTAACAATGTTAATACATAATTTACAGTGTAAGATACCTTTACCTGTATCAATATTGTGTGAATATTGACCGTATATTCTTACAGGATTGCTACCCTGTAAGAATATACACTACCTCATACTGTCCCGTGGGTGTCGTAAGAGGCGACAAAGGGAAACAAACGAAAAGATGGACAGCATGCGAGTGGTACCAACTATTTCTACATTTGAGCTTGGAGCGGTCCGTTACGGAGTCTTAGTCACTTCAGATGACCCCAGAGGCTGACAGGTTTTAGCCCGTTTGCAGAGACGACTACAGGAATAATTTCGGTTGGCAGACCACCTCTCATGTCATTCACCTCATAAACCAGGTCCAGATATATTATTCACTTATCTATTTCAGCTTTCACGAGGTTGCTAATCATGCTAATCACTTATTATTGAAAATTTATTACAGTGATACTCAACACATACATTTTTCAAAACAACTGCACACCAAATTAACATATTATGAAGAATTCTATTTTAAGACTGAAAAAAAAATATGTATCTGGCTTAAATATGTGTTTACGTAAATTATAACAAGATACTTACAGGTCGATGGACATAGAACATCATAGAGAATGGCACGAGGTCAACTCTGCACTCTACGGTCACCTCTCGCCATAAACCATCTTCTTTCACTGGTGGCTCCCTGCAATATGGTAATATATAAACGTCCATTGCTGAACATAGGAATGCCCCATAGAGTTGCTGTGACCCATAGACATCTACATTTATCCTCAATAAAGAATCAAAATGCAGATGCGTCATTACTCATAAGGACTAAGTTGGAATGCCTCTTTTCCAGTAAAAAGGGTCTCTGGTTCTCTACACTCGCCATAGGAAACACAGCAGTGTCAAGCTGCCATTTTACGCTGGTATTCTGTGAGAGCTTGGTCCTTCCCCGGTCAAGCCGACCCATTTGTGCTACAACTATACTACTAATATAGCTGCAGCATGGCTCTACCGCGTAAAGAAAAAAAACCCTGGGAATGAGGTGATCGCCACCATGCTGGTTTTATTAAAAATAATTTAAAATTTGTACAAACAAAAAAACAAAATTATTGTAAAATGTATTTTAATAAAAGGCCCGCTGGGTTTTGTTGCTGGTACTTCTCAGGACAGAGGTATTTTCCGAACCAGTGGTAAACCATTGTCTGATCCGGAGTGTGGTGCCAATCACGCTCCCCTCGCGGTTGCGTTCTGCAGGTTGCCGTCGTGTTTGGCATTACAGGTCGGCGGTTTGGAACGGAATGCGGCCTTTCTTGCATCCTACCCATGGGGGTTTGCTTCTCGCCGAATGATCACAGCACTGTTGCTGACTCTGTCACTGATGTGGTGCTACAGGGAACGGAACTATTTATTCCATCATCAGTGGTACCCATCGGAGGCAGATTTCAGCCTTGGTTTAGTCGCTCCGTAAGACTGCATTACGCAGTAAGCAGGAGTGTTATCGGGCCTGGGCTGAGGCTTCGGCGGCTCGGGATGTAAACACCAGCATGCTTAAAAAGAAGTATAACTTCGCCTCCAGGTCCTTCAAGAGTTATTGCCAAGGCAAAGTCAGAGCACATAGGCAGAATTGGCGAGAAACTAGTTCGCCTTCCTTCAGGAACCCGTGCATTCTGGTCTCTGCCCAAGGCTGTCCAAGGGAATTTCTGTAAGCCATCACTACCACTCTGCACAGAGAGGACGACTCAGTGGCCCACGCCGCAAAAGAGAAAGCCGACCTTTTAGGCACGCAAAAAGGCGTCCAACTCTACTCTCGATGACGGGGGGAACACACCGCCGACCATCCCGCGGTGTGAGTGCTCCATGCCGGATGTGCGCTTCCCACAGCGATCGGTCCGCAAAGCACTCATTTCCCGGTATCCCCCCAATTGTGCTCACGACGTGTGCTCCGGAAATTGCACCGGTTCTAACGCATCTTTCCCGGTACTCCTACTCCCTGGCCGTAGTCCCGAAATCATGGAAGACAGCTTTTGTCCACCCGATCCCTAAAAAAGCCAACCGCTCAGACCCTTCCAACTACAGGCCTATCGCCATCACCTCCTTGTTCTTCAAAATAATGGAATCTATTATAAACTGCCAGCTCATGCGGTACCTTAAGATCACCAGCTGATTAGTGACCGCCAATACGGTTTTCGTCGGAGTCAATCAGCTGGTGATCTTCTGGTCAACATGACTCATAGATGGGCGGAGTTTGGACATTGCGAAGGCCTTGGATTGGGTTTATCACAAAGCGCTTCTTTCGAAGCTCCCTTCCTATGGGCTTCCCGAGAAATTATGCAATTGGATCACCAGCTTTCTTGCAGATCAGAGCATCAAGGTCGTTGAAGACGGTGCATGCTCCGACTATAAGCCTATTAACGCTGGTGTTCCACAAGGCTGCGTCCTATCACTGGTGATGCTCTATACACCGGCCGTGTCTATATTTTTTGGGAAAACGTCGCTGAGTACCGGAACAAACTTGTGTCTTAAGTCGAGTCTTTGCTGAACAAAGTCTCGGATTGGGGGCGATTAAATCTAGTCCGTTTTAATCCTCAGAAGACACAAGTTTGCGCCTTTACTGCTAAAAAGAACCCCTTTGTCGTATCTCCTCAGTTTCAAGGAAGTGCCCCAGTGCCAGCTCCTTCCACTTGACCGCATCCAGCGAAGAGCGGCTCGATTCATTGGCGCTGCGAAGAGATGTTGTATCCCTTTGCATTTTCTTCGCATTTACTACGGGGAGTGCTCTGAGGAATTGTTCGGATTAATCCCAGCCGCCAAATTTAACGAACGCACATCGCGGCAGAACTCCCGATACCATCCACACCATCTGGATGATTGGCGGTCCACCACTGTGCGATTTAGATGTTTTCTGCCTCGCACAACTTCCCTGTGGAATCTATTACCACCAGTGATTTTTCCGGACCGATACGACTTAGGGATCTTCAAGAAAAGAGCTTACTCTTTTTTAAAAGGCCGGCAACGCATCTGCAATTCCCCTGATTCTCCTGGTGTTGCAGATGTTCATGAGCGACGGTAGTCACCATCAGGTGAGCCGCACGCTCGTTTGCCCCTCTCTTATAAAAAAAAAAGACTTTCAATAAGTATTATGTAATAATCTATATTGAATTATAAAATTATTCTATTCCATTCTTCATTGGGGTAAAATTTGAAACAGTTGCCATGCTTAGCAGACAGGGGTTAGCAACTGCAGTTTTTTTTATTTTTTAACAACTAAATAACAAATGCAAATTTTTTCTCCTAGTTTGTTTCCTCTAACAATACTTAAGAAACAACAGGGAATAGTGGATATTCTTACACCGCCACTACACAATGAAAATGGGTGTGATTTGTCTGCATCTGTCTCCAATTCAACTTTTTTTTAATAGAGTAAGGGTGATAAATGAGCACATAGTCCACCTGATGATACGTGGCTGCTGTGGCGCATAGACATCTACATTTATTCTCAAATAATAATCAAAATGCAGATGTGTTGTTACCCCTGAGGTGAAAAATGGTTTCAGGGTTTCTACACTCAACATAGCAGCATTGAGCTGCTATTTTACACTGGTATTCTGTGAGAGCGTGGACCTTCCCCAGTTGAGCCTACCCATTCGTACTACAACTATAATGTAGTCACATTAAACAAAATTATCCCATTTAGTGACTAATTGTAAGTATTTTTTTTTATTACAACAGAATTCATTTTATTGGAAACTTAATTAGGTAATCATAAAGAGAAATTAATTTGGAGACATTACCATCATAAAAGTTAAAAGTTTTGTTAAATAATTTGTATATACTTGTATATTGTATGATTTTAACACATTGTTATTGTGCTTGTAGTTTATTATTATTTTTCTATAATCAGGATAGTTATTCGCCATAGCTGCACAAATCCTCATTGGACACGGCATCATTTTAATAAAGCGGACTAGAAATGCATAAGTGAAACTGAAAACTCTTTAGTTTTCGACCTACATATTTATTATCACATACATATTTTCAACATAAGCAATTAAAATTTCTTTTATCAACCGTCAATGAAATCTATCAAACAATAATGCAGGTCTCTTGATTTCTCTTATTTCACATTTCCATGGTTAAAATTACGAGTGGTGGCAGCATTAGATAATCAACTACCCCATATCATTGCATGGGTGTTGTAAAATGTGACAGAGGTAAACTAAAACAAGGCATTGGCAGCACCCTTCTGTTAACAACTCAAAATAATTAAAAGCTGTGGTTGCCAGCATGGCAACTATAGCAAATATCTTCCAGGTGGGATATCTATAAACAAGGCTTTTGTTCAGCAATGTATTTTTGAAAGGCTGTAATAAATTAATGAAAAGTTAAATTATTATCAAAACTCACATCATAGTGAAATTTAATTACTCATACTTAGTAAATTTCAGTAACATAATATGAAACACAATACAGGTAATCACTTAAATAGTGAGGAATTCATCACTTAGATAGTAGTAGTTACAGCTATCTTAGAATCAAGAATTAAAAATCAATGACATGATGATAAATATTTTAATTGAATTTTATATTGTAATATAATAAATTTAATTATAAAAAATGTATTTGCATGCTATTATAAATGGCTGAAAAAGCTGAACTACACTTTAATTTATCCCCTTTTTCAAAGGAAATAAATCTTCATTTCATTTCAAACTTGAGCTACATGCTTACTGTGTGTGCAGAAATAGGAATAAAAATAGACTTTTTTTTTCCAATATAGGTAATAAATAAAAGAGTCATTCTTTTTTTTAATTCACCACTGATTCAGATAATACCTCTGTCCTGGGAAGAACCAGTAAGAGACTGAGTGGGACCTCATTCTCAGGGAGCTAAAGTGCTTAATATTATAATAACCCTCTTTACAAAATCTAATTATTTTTAGAGATTTTTTTTTGGATTAATCTATTATTTAATAAAGTTTCAGAACTTGGTAGTGGGAAAATTTTGTATATTTTTTGGGATTTTGTTGTAAGAGTGTATACATTGCCCCAAGAATGAATTACTGTTGAGTTGGGTAACTGGTATTATCTAGCTTGTATTTGCTCCTAGTATTTACGGTGTATATCAGTTCATATATATTACTACCCTTACATTTTTTTTAACATAATTGAAAAGGGGAATGCCCACCATTCATAGACACTTCGACCATGGGTGCCCACATATAAAAGCATATGGAAATGAGAATATGCAATTAAAAGAATGAAATGGTTAAGGAATTGGTTTAAAAAAATCTGCATTTTTAAGATATAAGGTATTTTACTGTCACAAGAACAGTTTTTTAACAACAAATGACTTCGTATTTTCGTGACATTTAAACCACAATCGACACAGCGTAAATATCTTCTTGAATGAGTTACTGTGAGCTGGGAAGAACTCTGGCCGGTGTGAAAGCTGGGGTCATCGTTAACAGTGGATATCGAGTACAAGTTTGTGCAGAGGTTATCGTAAGAAGTGGGAGCGGGATCCATTTTCAGGCCGTGGTCAATAGGGTGAGAAGAATTATCGGAGTCCATTTAGAAAGCTTATTCGTTGCTTAGATAATAAATCCGCGAGAAAACAAACAAAACAACACATGTAAAGGAATTCGACTTGTGACCCTTTAGTTTTGACATGCCTATTATGACATGGGTCAATCCTCTATCTACATGGGCCTAGCTGTCAGATTCGATGTTGCCCATTAACATACATAAAATCGATAAATAGATAGCGATTTTTTTATTCGATTTATTTCATAAAAAAGAATAATCTTTGATTAGCTTTAAGTTCTGCACGCCTATTAAAATATGTTTGATTTTATTTATTTAAATTCCATTTTAAATGTAATTTTAAGAACAGATAAGAATAATAGTTAAATTGTGCAGTTGCGTTTTTGTTATGTTCTAAAGAGTTCATGGTAAACCAACTAGCAATTAGCTTGTTTAATTATCATAAAATCATAATAATTATCGAAAAATAATATTACCATTATAATAATGACACCAAAAAAAAAAAACGATTTAAATAACAGAATTGGCTTTTTAACGAGATTTGTGATTGGCAACACTTTTTATTTTATCCACAAAATAATGACTTCCGGATTTACCTAATTTCATTTTTATCTTTTTGGTACTTTTTTTTGTGCAATAATATTGCAATCTTTTTTGGATACATAAATGCCGCGATTACTTACCATAAAAAAAGATATTTTTTAACAAATGCAATTTGTTGGACGTTCCATGGCCAGGATTGGACATTCCTCTTTGCTCAGTAATCATTTTTTCAACATTACCTAACAGAACCCATTTAGTACATAGCTAGTTGAATAATGAAAATGTTTAGTTCCACATTATTAAATCACTGAAGCAAGCTTATACGTAATATTTATAAGTGTAGGGAACCGGAGAACCTTTTTACTAGAAAAGAAGCATTCCATCTTAGTCCTCACGGGTGACAACACATCTGCATTTTGATTCACAAACGAGTTTAGATATAGATGTCTGTGGGCCACAACAAGCACTTACCATCAGGTGGACTGTGTGCTCGTTTGTCCACCCATTCCCATAAAAAAAAAGAATTTACAAACTAAGTTTCTCCTTCATCATCATCATTATTACTACAGCCTATCAAAACTCCACTGCTGAACATCAACCTCTCCTCTAGATTATCTCATATGGGTGATATCTACCATAGTTACCACACTTGACAAGAGGTTGGCATTTGCAGTTTTTTATTATTATGAGTTCTTAACAGGAAGGTGATGCTGCCCATCTATTTCATTTCCCTCTGTCGCTTTTTATGATCCCCATGGAATAAGATAATTTAGTTTAGTCGATATTCTTACACCCTCTACAAGATTTTTTACTACTTACCCATCTAAAACTGGATCTTCAACTAAAACATTGACTTCAAACTGTAACACTTGGAGACCAATGAGTTCCTGAGTAGCGTTAAGGCAAGTTTGTTGTGCTGATTGTAGGATTTTCAACTCTGTTACAGATGGTCCAGTATCAATGGGGGCGCAAAGCTCGGAGTCAGAATCGGAACTAAAATATCAACAGAAAATTAGCTTGGAACTTATACTTGTTATTATGAAGACAGTATAAGGAAATGAATTTACTATTTATCTAAATAACTTAAAAGTGACATGTAGCATAAAAAAAAAATTAGATATAGAAATTGTGAAGAGCTGTAATGATGATTATGATGATAATAGAGATTATAATAATGTTACCTTCCATCGTATACGAATGTTTTTTTTAAGTCTAGTTTATCCTTTTCAATCCGCTTTTCATAGTATTTTAATTCTTCAATAAGTTTCTCTTTTCGCATAATTAAAATCTTTTTCTTATTTACTCTATTCATTCTAGACATTTTGGCAAACAATATTCTATTAATCTTTTAATTGATTTATAATTTCTAGTTGCTAACAATCTAATTTTTAAAAATAAAATTTAAACTGAACAGCAGTTTGCATTTTGTTTTTTTTTTAATAACTGGCTTTACAGCTCTGGGTTCCAACCCTTCTGAGCCAGAATTTTCAATGTACAATTATCCTTCATAGTACACAGCTTCACAATATGTTGATGCATCACATTGTGCAGCCCTTGGGAGATTTTGACGGCAACTTGACCAGCAGACAGCTGACAGTTGGCGATGGTATCTCAAGAGTCCTAAGCAGATAGACACATTATCTTGAGAATCACATCACCATCAGAGCACTTGTTTCACCGTTTCCACTAATAGTTCACATGCGCAGACACTTAATATACAAAATTTCACCATTTTTACATATCAAAATCCACTTCATACAATTATTTAAACAATAATACAGGAGCAGCAATCCACCGCCGGTCAAGTTCCCGCCAAAACCCCTTGATTGTTTTTGGTGTAACTATAAACATATACAATTATTTATAGGGTGTAAGCATCATATTAGTCTGTGATAGGGTGTAACCACGGAAGTATAGACGAAGTACATATATTTCCATGGGTGTAACGCATAGTCTGTGGCACAGACTTATATGATGGTTTGTGGGAGTTTTCGCGGAACTTGACCGGCAGCGGTTTGCTGCCCCTGTATATATCCTGCTGTTGCAGTTTTATAGGTAGACCAAAGTGCTTAACAGGCTATTGTCGGGCGTGAATAAGACACACGCATATAACGGTTGGATCATGCCTGTTCTCATGCCTGTAACCATTTGGCATACTCAGCTGGACTCAAATTGAACTTAATGCCCTGGAGAGAAAAGTCCGCACTACCATGACGTCCCATAGGAGGCACCATCCGATATCGTCGATAATGAGGCTGTACTTGCCGCGGAAGCAAGGTAGGCTTTTTAAGCGCGCTCACCATGCATAATCGCGAAGTGTGCAGCCTGCGTAATTACTTCCTGGCGAGATCGGAAGATCCATTTTATAAGGACGTCATTTCTTGTGATAAAGGGCTTACCCCTCTATCCTTAGCCAACGAACAATGGCAAGATCCGGTGGTGCAGAGCCGACCGTGAGACTGTATGAAAGGAGGAGCTCCATGGAAGGTTCTAACAAGGCTCTACATGAGCCTTTCGTAGACACGACCACCTCCCTCCACTGGCTACGTTTCTGTGACCTCTTTGTGGAAGCCGAGGGTTTTGTCTGTGCGATACAGGATCAGGTTATTAAGACCAAAAACTATCGGAGATACATCCTAAGGAAAGGCACCGTCGACATCTGTCGAGCTTGTCGCCATTCCTGTGAGTCACTTAGGCATGTTATCTCCAGTTGTTCGGCGCTTTCTAACTCTCAATATTTACACAGGCAAACTAGTTGCTATGATTCTATACCAGGAGCTCGCTTTGAAATACGATCTCGTGGATCGGAAACCGCCTTATTATAAGTACTTGTCGGAAGTCGTGCTCGAAAATGACCGTGCCAGACTCTACTGGGACCGGGCCATCGTCACAGACAGGACTATTCTTGCGAAAAAGCCTGATATTGTGCCGATAAACCGGGCACTCTCAAGAACATTTTTGGTCGACATTAACATTACTTATGACGAGAACCTCTAGAAAAAAGCCGAAACAGATAAGCATACAAAATATCTGGACCTGGCCCACGATATGGCCAACATGTGGTGTGGTATGCCGGTCGAAATTATTCCTGTGGTCGTTTCTGTAAATGGGCTAATCCCGGTCAGCCTCTCGGGTCATCTGAGGTGACTGGAACTTAGTGACGGATCGCTTGGAGCTCAAATGCAGAAGGTGGTGCTCCTCGATACAGCCTGCATCGTCCGCCGGTTTCTTTCCCTTTTACCCTAACCTTCGGCCGTTTGTCTCCCCTTCCGAAGGCTTCCATCTGGTTGGGTTTTTATTTATGTATGTATTTTCTATGTATTTGTTTTATATTATTGATATTTTTATATATTTATTATTTTCATTTATATATTTATATAGCCCAAACAGATGAGAAAATTATGTATATACCCCATTAATAATAAAATTTATTACAGTAAAAAGATTTAGTTTACAATCATTAGTCGCCGGAGTATCATTTTAAGCAAATAATAAATATCTTTGCGTACTGTGTATTACATTCATCACCATCTTCCTTTTGGCAGTTTGGCACAATCATTTCTTCATACACTGTGACTGTGACACACTTCTTTTGTTTCTTTAGCATCCATAATTACTTCAACATGATATTTTTTACCATTACATTAACAATTAATTTTTTTATATGTTACTAGAGCGCAAAAATATTCATATTATGTCAAAAAGTAATATTTTGTAAACAAAATCACAAGATTAAAACGATCATGCCTCATAATCTGAACGCTGTTTTCTGTCTGTCTAATAAATGTCAAATAACATTTCGAAAACCCTCAGTCAAAAGTCAAAACCATATTTATTTTATTGTTGTAAAACTAAAACATTTAAATATTATGTAAAAAATCACGAGCAAATGTAAAAATTAAAGCGGTTACCGCATTGTGTGAAAATTCATATCGCACTTTGTTAAATTCCATTTTTTTTTTATAAAAGCGACATTAATAAATCAAATAAATTTGTACAATAAATATGCGTACCTTTAATGAGTTGTATCTATATTGAGTTCATAATCAAAGTTTCTATGGGTGTGGGTAGAAGACCGAACGTAGCTTAGACAATAGACAGTGATAAAAGGGGTATAATTTTTATTTAAACAAGCATCATTTCGTGATAATTTGGTGTTTCGAAGGAGCTTGAATTTTTGAAGAAATGGGGCAAACGGGGAGCGCAATACCCGGTAAGTGGCGTTAATTATTATGATTAAGCTCTAAAATGTGTAAACTTGCTCTAATTAGACTCTAATTGGAATTGTCACTTCCTATACTATCATAACCTATTTAAACTATGACGCATTCTAGCTTTGTTGCATACGTAAACTAAAGGTTGTTCGTTAATTAATGCATACTTGCTTTTCTTAAAAAGCATTTTTAATCAGTAAGAGGAAGTGTTTATCAAATAACTGAAAATGTTTTATTATTATGATTAGCACACAATAACATTGTTTCATGATGTTGTTTTTTAGTACCCAATTTGTTTTATTGTCTATTGTTTTATACTAAATACAGTAATATAAACGATTTGTGCAAGTGTTTATTTTGTATGCTTAAAACTTTTTAAATACTTGTAAACCTTTTTGTATCCTATAAGTCCACCGATAAACAAAGTCCACCCCTGCTCACATGGGGCATAATTTTACCATAGTTGACATGCTGGCGACTGCAGTTTTTTATTTAATTTTTTATTAGGATAATACTGTTGCCCATCTCCTGGCTTGTATTCCCCTGTTATCAGTTACGACACCCACCGAATAACTAAGAATAAATGAGATGAAATATATATAATCTACAGTTTAAATACTAGAATTCATGCTGAATGTATACCTCACAAATAGATTGCCTAATAGATATTTGCCATTGTTGCTGTGCTTGGCAATTGGGTTGTCAACTACAGTTTTTTATTATTTTGAGATTGTTATCAGGAAGATTCTGTTGCATATCTCCTGTTTCATTTCCCTTTGTTTGTCTCATTCAACACCCATGGGGAAGATCACCATGTCACTATCAGTGTCTTCTGTGATCTTTCAAAGGCTTTTGATTGTGTAGATCATAAAATTTTAATTAGCTAACTAAAATACTGTGGCGTTTGTGATGCTGTTCTTAATTTTAACCGACTTCAACAAGGAGGAGGTTCTCAATTTCAGTGTATGTTTTATTTGTATGTATGATATGCGAAATTTGTGAATCAATTTTGATTCACAATTTTTGATTCTTTTTTTATTAAATAGGTTATACTTCAAGGGTGGTCCCATATAAATCTATATCTATACAAATAAATAAAATTGAAGTGTCTGTTTGTAATGTTAAAATAACAGCTTTTTACTGAATGCATATGAATGTATAAACGGTACTTATAACAAAAACATATTTCTTTAAATTTTTGTCTGTCTGTCTGTCTGTCTGTCTGTTTGTTCCGGCTAATCTCCGAAACGGCTGGACCGATTTCGATGGGACTTTCACTGGCATATAGCTGATGTTATAAGGAGTAACTTAGGCTACTTATATTTTAGAAAAAGAGTTAGGGTTCCGCGCAACATAATTAAAACCCTTAATTACACGCGGGCGAAGTCGCGGCGAACAGCTAGTTTAGAGAATAAATGCCAATCCTAAGGGTGGCAAATAAATAACTTATTATTAAGCTTTTCAAGTCGGTTTTTACTTTTATTTCAAAGATATAGTTATTATAATTATATATCTCAAATCGAGATCAAAAGGTTACAATTAACAGTGTAGTGTCATTGTTATATGTAATTGGGTGTCCTTTAGGGTCAATGCTTGGTAACTTTTTTGTTCTTGGTCTACATAAATGATCTTCCTTGTATGCTCCACAAAATGTCTGAAATAGTTCTGTTTGCTGATGATACCTCAATGTTATTTAAAGTTAAAAGAAGCAACTTTGTTTACTGAAAACTATTTGGAAAAGTATCCAATATTTGGTTGGGCCTTTACAGTGCAATTTGCTTTTGATTGTAGGAAAAACAAAATGTTTACAGTTTACACTGTCTCATTTGCCAAAGAATGTTGTAATTAATTTCATCAGCATCATCATCACTAATGATGATGATGAAAAGTCCTTTGCAAGTCCACTGCTGAACATGGGCCTCTCCCAAGGAATGGGCTACGTAATTAATTTACAAGATAATAATTTAGATTTCAAAAGCTTAACCATTTTCTCAAAATTTCCACTGCTTCGAGGCTTTAGTTGGAAGCACATATGAATAAACTAGCTTCAAAATTAAATTCTACAACTTTCACTATCAGAAAGTTTAGAAAGCGGACT